CAATGATTTTGATATTGGTGATCATTTTTCTAACAAATGAAAACTTCATTCATGCGTATACAAGCAATATTTCCTATAGGAAATGTTTTTCCAAAAGGTTAATGATATAAAGTACTCTTAACATAAGTAAGCTCAGTTCAACGTTAACTCTGAAACGCAACGGTAAGTTTGAAGTATCGCTTTTGTTGCTTTTCACTATTTTTAAAACATTTTATCCTTTGTCTTTTAAAATTTCAACAAATTAACATTGAAAATTAAATAATTTAACGATTCATTATTCAAGTGTGTTTCAATGTGTGGTCATGTTTTTATGCTATATACGAGGCTTTTTCCCTATAATCAACTTAGTTGATTTTTTTTTTGTAAAATTGTTCTTTAATATAACTAATTTTTTATCAGGAACGATAAAATAATATATTTGAGCTGTAGTATTTCAATATTTTACTATAAAATAATAAATCGTCAATAATTCGATACATCTATTACTCCTCACTGAATATTTTCACTAATTATTTAAGATTTTATCAGTTTATTAAACTCTTTCAAGTTAGTTACCACAACTTTTTATTTCCTCATAGAGGAAGCTTTACAATGGGTCTAAAATGGGCTTTTTTCAAATGTTTTGTCTCATATAAGTCGAATATACGTTCATAAAGTACATATTTTTTCAATTGGGTTTAGGACGAAGCCCGAAAAAGTTTCAATTCGATTTGTGTAATATTTTATTTGTTAAATATTTACAATTGTTTTTTAATTTTTTTGAAAGGATGTAGTGATTTACTGAAGTTTTTAAGCCCAGATTTCAAAAGATGAGCATTTGAACTTAAATTTGAGACCGAAAACGTTAAGACTTATCGATTAATTACATACATAGGTATATGGGGCGAATCACGATAGATGCACCAGCGGTGTGTGCGAGTGCGCAAAACAGCCAAATCACGCAGTTTTTGACTCGCTGTACGGACTTCATATGCTATCTAGAAAAAAACTCGAGTAAGTGATTTCGATGTGTTTTTTCCTCAGCTTTCCAGTGGTGAGGTCAAAAATGCAAAAATCAGCCTCCATAACCTCAAAAAATGGACTTGAACATAAAACACGCTGTATCTTCTTTTTCCGCCAGGTTTAGAGTTTTTTTGAGGGTCTAGATCGAAAGATCTCGCGATTTTACATAAGAGATGACTGTAAAAAAAAGGGAATTTTTCGATTTTCTCGAGCAGTGAAGGAGGAAAGAGCGCGCGGTCGGCCGTTTTCGAGCGCCGCGGCCTGTTTTTGCGCTACGCTTTACGTTTCCTTATTTATCACGCGTTAGGCTTTCGCCATAAAAATAAACAAATATATGGTTTTTGTGTATTTTTTCCTCATCTTTCCAATGGTGTAATTAGTTTTTGGAAAAATTTCTTCGTTTCGCGAATAAAATGAAAATAATGAAACTGTTAATCAAAAAAGTTAATTTATTTGTTCAAAAAAGCCAATTTTCCACTGATGCATCTATCGTGATTCGCCCCATATCGTGAAAATGAAAATGTTATTTTTTCGTTTTTCGAAATTCTTTTAATTTTTTGAGAAGTGATTTTAAAAACAGCCCCAAAAATAATAAGCCAATACTCTACGAATGAAAAAAACGCGAAAAATCATCTTTCCTATCCTATCCTATAAAAGTGGTGAGGATTTTGGCGTTAGCATTTTATACGCGCTGTGATTGGTTGTTCAGTAGCTTGCTTTTGTTTTGTAGCGCGCCAATACGAGTATTATAGTAAGTTAAGAAAGTGGAATATTAACCTATTGGACGGCTGAAGACTTATTTTGATTAGTTTTCTCGAGGAGACGCTGAGGTGAAAAGCCGACCTATTGCGTATTTTTACAGTTTATAACATAACCTTTATTTAATTTTTCTATTTTAAATATTGAAAAATGGCAAAACGGAATAAGAAAGAAGAGAGCGCGCGAAGCGCGCTGAAAGTCGGGCTAGTTTTATTTATAAATGCTAATGAAGCAATTATTCAAATTTAAATGAAAAAAAACTAAAATTTCTATTTCCCGATGTAATTTTTAAAATAATCTATGAATCCTAACATTTTCTGTCTAGAATTCAAGCTTACCTTAATACATATAGATCAATCGACCATTATAACTAATATTTAGTGTTACCGGATTTAATGCAGCTGCTATATCGACTGGCCCTTCACTGGAATTCGCTTTCGCTACTTGTAAGGTCTACTTTGAGGGCTTTTTTTGTAACCTTTCTGTCTTCTTCACTGTCACTGCTGTCCGGGTGCTCTCTTTTGCTTTTTTTCAAACTGTTTTTGTATTTAGGATCGCGTGCTTTTTCGGTATCACTCTGTCAATTATAGAAAAATTAATCAATTAGGAATTTGAACAATTTTCTCGTTCGTCGTGTTCTCTTACCTTATCATTCGATGCACTTTCATTCCTGATTCTCTCACAAGCAGTTAATTTTCCTTTAGGTGACAATTCTAAATAGTTGAAAGTCTTTTTGCTGGTTGAAGGTTGATCAAAGATGCTCAGTATTTTTCCAACCGTTTTGTTTAAGGATTTCGCAACTTCCTCTTTCTTTTTTTCATTATAATTTTTTTTCAAAAGCTCCAACGAATTTTTTTAGCACGAGCTTGCGTTTTCTTCGCCGTGATATTTAACCGTAACCTTACTCAAATATTATTTATCGTCTTTAAAAAAAGTAAATTAATTAGTAAAGTAAATTAATATTCGAATTTAAAAACGAATTATGAATAAATAATTGCATATCTTATGATTTCTAATCGCAACTTTTCAGGACGATTTTGACCTTGTATTTTTTTCCATTTTTATATTCAGCAATATAGTTACATTTCCCTCTTCTACATCTGGATGCAAGTTTTTAACTTCTACAATGCTCGTCGTTTTATGAGCCTTCCAAAAAACTAAGGCAAATATTATTAACGATGCAAAAGAACAAATTTTACACGCTACTAAAAATATCGCACAATTAATACCGATCAGTGCTGAACATAGTTACGTATGAAGTTGGGCTTGAAACCGATCGATAGGTAAATAATTATAACGTAAATTAATCTCTTCGCAATTAATCAAGGTTACTTGAAAGTAAGCAAAATGCGCAAGCGACCTCTCCTATTCGAAGATTATTGCATGAAGTTGAAAAAACGCGCAAAAGGGATTTTTGAACAAAAATTTACGGAACTTGATGGAGAAAAAGGTCTCGAAGGAGAAAACGGCTTGGAGGGAGAAAGAGGTTTTGAAGCACAAGATTTTGAGATCTGCAAAAATGAAGTCTATGCATCCACAATCGATGAATACTCTTCGCCTCTTAATCCACTGACGTCAAAATCAAACCCGCTTGATGAGAGAGACAATTTTCTTCCGTATTACAGTTAAGTTCGGGTAGTTTCATTTGCTAGCTATTAATTTAGAACTTATGAATACCTATAGTTGCACGGGATGCGCGCGCGTACATTACGAGATCAGAGAGTTGCGGCCCTTACTTACACACAATTGCACGCATATTTTTTCTATCGGTTGATTATTTGTTGTCGTTCTCAATTGGCGTAGTATCTTTGCTATCTTTATGTTCAAAGCATGTCGTCGAACTAGTTTTTCACGCTTTACGATTTTGAAAAATATTTTTAGATTAAATTCTCGAAATCTTAATTCGTAGATAACTAAGTCAGTATTTATTTGATCTGCATAAGTGAATATACGTCAAAAATAATTGCAACGATCTTTTTGCGTTGAAACTCACTTAAAAATGTTTTATACTTTTATTTTCATGAAAAATTCTAAAAATCTTAAATCTACCATTACATAGGAGAGTACAATCAAGAAGAGGAAGTTTCCTATGCGAGCGACGACGACAATTTTGTCGACGACTATGTTGATGACAATTTCACGAGCCCAGATCCTCCTTCTTCTTTGCAAGATGATCTTTACGACGGAGCTGGTGTTACTGTTCGCGAGTTTATATTAAGCATCGGTACATTAAAAACAAGCACACGTCAAACTGATACGCAAATTGCTGCTACGTTGAAATTGTTCAAATCAACTCTGCCAAAACCTAATAAGTGTCTTATATAAATTTAAAAAATCCTTTCGTGACATTGATAAACCAATTTCAAATTGTAATGTGTTAGTTTCGAGTTCAAATCGTACTTCAGGTAGTGATGAATAAGTTTCGGGTGATGAACATTCAACAGAACATCGGCGCGTGCGATTGTAATGAAGACTTGAATTATTATTTCCTTGAGATACCCTTGTTAGACAATTACAATCGTTATTCGATCGCCCTAGTTTCTACAATAAATTTATCGGAATTAATGCTAGATTGAACCGAGATTTGCATTGTTTTTCTGATATATACGACGGATATATTTACAAAGAATTTGTCAGTAAATATTTTCGTAATGAATGCTTTTTAACCTTCATGTGGTACACATGACTCCGTTTTTGCTCTTTTGACATTTGAAACTACATAAGTACGTAAAAATATCATAGAATAAACAGTGTGTAAAACTTTTTTAAAAGTACAAGAATTTTTCTCAGAATTTTTTTAATTTGATAATGGATTTAGTATTCGAACGATTTCAAAAAATGAATGGCTTTAAAACTACCGAAAATAATACTAATTTAATGATTTTTTTATTTAACTTAGTAGCTTTTTCTTTAAAGATCTCAAAGCCGAAATGGTGTAAAAAAAGGGAAAGGGATTAATGGAACAGACCAGTATTAATAAAATAAACAAATTGAAATCGAGCGTATTTATTTTATAAATTAGTCTACGTACCTTAATTACAAACAACTATTCATAGTCAAAACTAAATTACTGTTTGAAGCAATATACACTTTTTTACAAAGTTTAAGAGTAATTTTATGAACAGTTTTTAACCAATCTTTATAATAATGTATTACCACGATACTCGTGCGAATTCAATTTTAAATTGCACTCGCTCATGAATGAGAGATTTTCTAAAATGATGAAATGTACTTGTGTGGACTTTTAAGAGGTGATTAGTCAAAATTTTGACATTCAGAGGAATTTTTTCGATCATGAACTGTAATTACATGTCTATCGAGGTCAGCTTTGCGCCCAAATGTTTTGTGACAGACATCGCATTTGAAGGGTTTGATTCCATTGTGTACTGCATTTGTGTGTATAGTAAGGGTACCTTTTTGTCCAAAAGATTTATGACAAACTTCACATTTGAAAGGTTTCATACCATCGTGCACTGCACTTACGTGAATTTTGAGTTGACCTTTATTTTCAAATGATTTGTGACAAATAACACATTCGAATCGTCTGATACGATCATGTACTCTTTTTATATGTACATTGAGAGTACTTTTTTGCCCATATGATTTATTACAAGTTTCACATTTGAAGGGTTTGATACGATCATGTACTGTCAATATGTGTTGCTTCAGAGTCTTCTGGGATCCAATTAATTTTTTGCAAATGTCACACTCGAAGGAGTTGCTCTTATTATGTACAGAATCGATGTGTGAATTAAGGTAATCCTTCCGGCCGTATGACTTGTGACAAATCTTACATTTGAAGGATTTAATATTATAATGTATTTCATTCGCATGACGATTGAGGAGGCTTTGGTACATAAAAGATCTATGACACATTTCACATTCGAAGGGGTTGTTCGGATTATGTTCTTTATTTATGTGAATTTTGATGTCACCCTTGCGGCCGAATGATTTGTGGCAAACGTCGCATTCAAAAATTTTTTTCTGTGCATGTACCTCATCAATGTGCCTTTGGAGATCCGCGTGGTTTCGAAATGATAAGTGGCATTCCTCACATTCGACGGATTGGCTTTGATAGTGAACTCCAATTGTATGATATTCGAGGTGATGTTTGCGTCCAAATGACTTATGACAAATTTCACACTCATAGGGTTTTAAACGATCATGTACTGCGCTTATGTGTTTTCTGAGATCCCTGTCGTATCCGAATGATTTCAGACAAATGCCACATTGAAAGGGTTTCTTCTTTTCGTGTACTGCACTTATGTGAGATTTAAGGTGAGTTTTTCTTCCAAATGATTTAGGACAAATATTACATTGATAAGGCTTGCTACGCATATGTACTGCATGTATGTGTTTGGCGAGATTACTTTTATATGAAAATGACTTGTGACAAATGTCACATTCGAAGAATTTGATACAATCGTGCACTATCTTTACGTGAGTTTTCAGTTGACCCTTGCTGCCAAATGATTTCTGACAAATCTCACATTCGAAGGGTTTGATTTTATTATGTACTGCATTTATATGTTTATCGAGGATACTTTTGTATCCAAATAATTTCTGACAAATGTCGCATTTGAAGGGACTGTTGCGATTATGTACTACACTTATGTGAGTTTTAAGATAACCTTTTCGTCCAAATGATTTATGACAAATTTCGCATTCGTTTGGTCCAATGCTTTTACGTTTGGCATTGGTTTGATTTTTAAGACTTGCAGATGCAGTATTAGTTTTTCGACACACTCTTGACTTATAAGATGATTTTTTTCCAACAATTTCATCAACATTCCTTAGCTTCTCACATTCCGTCAGTTTTAAACGAGAGTTGGCATTCAATCGACAATTATCATCATAATTAAATCCTTTTTTAATCAAAACTATAAGCTTTCTTTTATTCACGTAATTGTGCGGATTTTGGTTATCTTTTTCGATAATAGGTTGACAACTTTGATACTCGGATTTGCAAATATTTGTCGATAAAAACGTCGGTTGAAGTTTAACATCTTTGCACTCAAAATCGACGAATATATTTTCATTTGTAGTATCAGACTGATTTTCTTTTTCGATTTTTACAATAGATTGACAATTTTGATACTCGGATTTGCAAATATTTGTCGACAAAGACGTTGGTTGAAGTTTAACATCTTTGCACTCAAAATCTATCAGTACATTTGCATCTAAACTTTCCTCTGATGCTATAGTTTCATTTTCTTGTTTTGGCTGAAATTAAAATGATGGTCTAGTTTCTGATGGTGGATGAACAGAAAACAATTCAAATTATTGAACTCACCGATAATGCATGAAACGACAATATTTCAGATTTTTCTGCTTTGCAAGGATCCACCGAATCGAGAACATAATCGTCAGCTGCAGTCGTCAAAGTATCGCTCGGCTCTTCCTTCACCCTGGCAAAAAATCGAGTTTTATAAATGATCACTCAAAAACTTATCATGGCAGTACAATGTGTATCACATCAAAAATGTTTATTTATTTGGCAGTTACTTTTCCGTTAAATCTATAAAAACAGCTAAGTTTTTCAGTCAGTTACTCACGTAGAAATTTGTTCTCCATTTCGCATAATTTTCAGTTATTTTAAATATGATGAATACTCAGTTTCTCACTTGAGATTTTAATTTAAGTGTTCGCATAACTTCTCACGTGGGATCTCACGTGATGACTTTTAATAGGGCTAAGTCTAAATAAAAATGCTGATTATAATGACCGCTTGGGAAATCTGTGGTAGAAATTTTTATGCCAAGATGACGGAAAGGGATCGGACATTAACACAGACTTTTGTGGGAGCCGAGTAATAAATAAATGTCAAAAAATGAAATAGCAACTTAGGTATCTGATGTGATCAAGATCATCTACATTCAAATATGTTCTTGTAAACAAATTTTTGTCAAAAAACTTTTGTCCCTTCATCTGCAATTAGTTAATTAAGGCGTTTTGACCATATATCTGAGATCCTGTTTTATGCCCGATCTCCTTCCGTCATCTTGGAATAAAAATTCCGAACATTTCTTAATATAACTGTGGGTTTTTCCGCAGACAATAGGGAGAAAAAGAAGAAATAATGAACTTGGTTCACATAGCCTAGTTAATTATGAACCTTTTCGGGCATTGGTAGTTAATTTTGAGCCTTTTCACGAATCATCTTTTCTATCAGGAAATACGCGAGAGATCAGTAAAGCTCGTTACTTGCAATTATTTAAGTGTGAAGGGAAAAATGGTCACTTGATAAAACAGTTGAAATCGTTTATTTCGAGTTTGACAGCGACTACCTTTGAGGATATGTAATATTATATTTTTATTAATTGCAGCGAAGGTGGTCAAGTAAAATTAGTGTCGAAATGAAAAAGTAGTTAATTTATTTAAATTTAACTTACATTGTGAAATCGTTAGAGTACTGCTGTAAGCAACGAGCAGTCAATCACCACAGAGAAAAAACACTTGGACACTTTTTAACGCAACTGGCCTGCTAGACTGCTGGAGCACGTGTAGTCCAGAATTATGAGTCTGTGGAGCAGACACACGAGCTTGAGCTTGTAGCTTCGATGGTATTTGATTTCCTTCTTCTTTTATTTCCTGTAGAACAGATGGTCGATTATTATCAAACGCAACCCTATACATATCATAACTTATATGAATTTAATATTGTCATGGTTATTTTTGATTTACTTGAAATAATGATGATCATAAGTAAATGTAAATGCTCATAGTTTTCGTCGTTGTATGAATGACTTGCACACATTGACTAATTGTTGCATTTATTTAAAGTTATCTATTGTTTATTATTAATTTATTATTCATTTTTTAAAAGGTGATTTGAAATAGCACAGAGAAACATGAGATCATTGTATACTTCGATCATTGCTCTTTGAGTTTTGTTACATTTCGTATTCAAGAATTATTTTACGCTGCTAATAAATATTACTTGATTACTTATTTTAGATACGTTATCGAATGTTCGAGAAGGAGCGAACTGGATCTTAAAGTTAAAAGCCGTCAACTTATTTCATTTTTAAAGCGATCGTAAAGAAGGCATCAAATTTCATTGAGGTCTTATAAGCCGAACTGTTTGAGTCCAGCAACTAGCGACGCCCCTGTATATTGTTCTAGCAGCAACCTTTTGGCAATTCTGGTGGAAAAAAGCCGCCTGAATCCGAATCTGAATGTTGCCAGAACGACAAGTGCTTCGAAAATTGTTTACACAATTTTTGTTCAACGGATAAAGTAAAATTTTAATTTTTCGACCTGAAACGAATTTATTTAGATTATTGAGGTAATTTCAAACAAAAAAGTACTCTTATGTTTTTCCTCTAAGATTGATCTTTTTCGCGATATTTAACATTGAAACTTCGAATAAATCCGAAAATGGTCTTTTTAAAACCCAAAAAAAAAAGAAATTAAAATTATATGAATTTTAATCTTGCTTACAATTTTAGATAGTCTTTAAAAGTCCATTAAGGTGGCTAGTCAGTAAAATGGGTCGACAACAGATGTTTATGAAACTTTGCAGAAATATTCTTTGTAATGTGCTTTATATGCTGTAGAAATTTCAGCATGGGTTATCGAACTAATTTTTGAGAACGAAGCTGTTGAAAATAGCAAATTTAACATGGGCTCTTGTGGGAGGCCACCATAATTTCATACATTTTACACCATAACTTTTTTATTAAACACAACAGATCTTAACCAAAAACGAGTATGTTATGCTTCAAGTCACTACCTTTCGATTGGTATGTTAAAAAGTACCCCTTATCGAACTAACTAATGAGTAATTAAACAAAATGTGCGTAAAATCATTGATTTCGAATAGTGCGAGCGGTTGCCTGCCTAATGCGAGAAAGAGACAGACATACGCCTCGCTGTACTATTGTTATGATTACTGACTATAGCCACCTTCAGGACTTACGTACACTTAAAACTCAAATTTTTTTGTCATGTACTTACCAAATTGAATCTTAAGTTATACTTCGATCCTCTGAGTAATCTGACGTATAATGTATGATTTTCCGGTACTCAATGTAATCTAGAATTGCGCTTTTGTAGTTGACACTGTCAGGCACACTTTGTCTACACGTGGTAGTAGCAGTAGCTCATTGGCTTGTAATGTGAAATTTCATAGCCACGTTTGTCTACATGTAGTAGTAGTAGTAGTAGTGAGTTTATTCACTGAAACGGCGAACGAGCGCTCCTTACTCGGGAATCGATTCGCATGCGCACGTTCTCGAGTTTAGGAACATCGATATCGAGTATCGTCTCATCATAATTCGAGTAGGGCCCACTCTGATTGGTGGCGAGACTGTTTACTCGAGCATCGTGGAGGGCGATTTGCACGTTATCGTGTGCTCGCTACTCGATGGTCGACGTAGCACCAACGACGACTCGGTGACGACGTTCTTCGAGATCAACGACGAATTGCACAGATCGGTGCTGATCGATGCCAAGGACTAGGAGGGTCGCACACCTCTTCAATTTGCAGTGCGGCCAATCTCTTGCCGAAAGTAGTCTACGTATACTCTTGGATCGTGTCCAACTTCGTTTTTCCCGCCTCGAGCTACTTCGGTAAGGAATTCGAGAACGACAGGCTCGATTCGAAACTGAGACTGACGTTCAAGGCCGTGGCCGTCGTCGAACGACTCGAGAAAAGAGTCAATCCGAGTACTTACATACAAAATAAAGTGGATTAATAGTTACGAAAAGTTTTGATTTTCTGATTTTCAAGTACACGATCCTCAAAAAAACATTCTAACAAATTGAAGAAAAACGTCTTTACGTTTGAACTTTCGCGCACGATCGAGCTTCGCTCACTCGCGGCTTACGCGATGGCGGCGCCGGCGCAATCGCATGGATGAAACCGACGCGCCGTCGCGCCACCACATATCTACCTTTTTCCTCTCCGACCCCGGCGAGGCTTTTTTCTACCTAAAATACCGTATCTTGCAATCATGGCTGTCGGTAAAAATAAAGGGCTTTCCAAGGGTGGAAAGAAAGGGCTCAAGAAGAAGATGTAAGTTACGATTATCAATGCAATTACCACCCGCGTCTATCTCTATTGTAAAAGTCTGGTGTCGCTAAATCTTCGCGTGGTGTTCATAGCCTGCAAGCGTTTACATGTGACGTGCCACACGTGCATTTTTATAACGAATAAACAAATGACCTTTTGATTATTATTTTTAAAAAATATTTGTTTTTCAAGTGTCTTGTTGCAACTAAGTAATGTTTTTTGTTGTTGCAATGATTCTTATTAAAGCAGATAGTTACATTTTAATAAGCTGTATTGAGCTAACCATCAAATATTCTAATTATTCAGCGTTGACCCATTCACCCGAAAGGACTGGTATGATGTCAAGGCCCCATCGGTCTTCACTGTCCGTCAAGTAGGAAAGACCCTGGTGAACAGAACCCAAGGAACAAGTATGTATTGAAATGTGTTTATAAGCCAAAGTGTTGACACAAAATACCCAGACCTCATCATAATATGATTATGAAAAACCGCCAGCTGATTCAATTGCTTTTACTCCTCTTAGATATGAATCTAAAATTTATAATCATTTTCAGAAATCGCTTCCGAGGGCCTTAAACACCGTGTCTTCGAAGTTTCACTGGCAGATTTGCAGAGTGACAATGATGCTGAAAGATCTTTCCGCAAGTTCAAACTTATTGCCGAAGATGTGCAAGGACGCAATCTCCTTACCAACTTCCACGGCATGGATCTCACCACTGATAAGTTGAAATCAATGGTCAAGAAATGGCAGACTCTTATCGAGGCTGTTGTAGATGTCAAGACTACTGATGGATACAGCTTGAGAATCTTTTGCATTGGTTTCACAAACAAGGACCCACAGTCTTCCAGAAAGACTTGTTATGCCCAGCACTCACAAGTAAGTTTTACTTGAACACTACAAGTCTTGATCAATATTGTAGGGATAGGGAACTAACACAACAGTACTTTATGGCTTACAAATTCATAAAGCATAGATTATTCTATAGTTTATTTATTGACAGCTTCTAATTTCTAAAGTATTGTAATATTTCTTGTGAAAAAAGAAACTTTAATGAAATTTCTACTATTTTTCTTAGTAGTGATATTTTCTTCAAATTTGTGTAATATTTGCTTTCATTATTTAAATATTGTTATAATTTAAATTGTTTTCATCTTTCAACTAAATATTTTTATTAATTTTCAGGTTCGCAGCATCCGAAGAAAGATGGTTGACATCATCACTGAGGATGTGACCAAGAGCGACCTTAAAGGTGTTGTCAGCAAGCTCTTGCCTGATGCCATTGCCAAGGATATTGAGAAGGCTTGCCAAGGCATCTACCCCCTGCATGATGTCTACATCCGCAAGGTAAATTATTCCATCTAATTTTTTAAATATCTATCTTCATTAAAATATATATTAAGTTTATGAAATCAATAATTTTTGTTATAACATTTATCAACTTATTCTTTCTTGAAAAAAATTACTCATTATTTCGCTATGAATGTTCCAGGTCAAGGTTCTGAAAAAGCCACGCTTCGAACTTAGCAAGTTGCTCGAGCTCCACGGTGACGGTGGCAGCAGCAAGGGAGGAGAGACTGGCGAAGCCGGTACCAAAGTCGACAGACCAGAGGGTTATGAACCACCAGTACAGGAGTCCGTTTAGGTGAATTACCTAGGCATTCAAACGCAAACATGCAAAAATGTATTATAACTACATGAATTATAATTCAATCAGTTGATGTGAATTGTAACATGGATTATAATCTAATTTTTACAATAAAACATCTTGTTAGTAAAAAATAACGATCTTGAAATTGTTTTTACTCAAATTTATTATAGGATAACTTTTTTCTTTATTAGCTATTGAGACTCGAAACAATTGATGTCATTGACACTTTGTTAGTCGACCTTTTCTTTCAATTACATCAGTGTCCCTGCATTTTCTTCAAATTCATCTATAATTTCAGTAAGTGCATTCGATTCGTTATAAATATGATTCTCCTACTGGTAAAACTAATTCAATTACTTAGTCGTAAGTGCACCGAGATCGATCGAGATCGATCGCGATAGCCGACGAATACAAATGTAATAGCACCTCTTCGCTTATATAAAGTGTGAAAAACGAGACACGAAAGGGGCGTCAAAGAAAATGTTGAAAAATTGGGCCGCGAAGAATCAGGCACCGCTGGCCAAGTGCATATTCTACTTCTTCAAACTCCTCGGCACGGCGTGCATCACCTACGATCGTCCTCGCTCTTCCGGCAACAATAATAAATTGTTCAATGATCGCCGTTACTCCGCGCGAAAATCGCGCCTCGGCTGCGTCTTCAATCTGGCCGCGCTGTGCCTGACTCTGCCCGTGAACTACCAGGCGATGAGCTACATGCTCAGGAAGACGTACAACGACGACGCGACGATCTCGCCCTTCGAGAAGGTCTTCAACACGGGCAGCGACGTTTGCGCCACAGCGAGCGCCGGCCTCGTCCTCCTGATCTTCGCCCTGGATCAATCGAGGGACGTGGCTATCGTCGAAAAATTGGCCTCGATCGTGTCCAGGTTCCAGAACCGATTGCCCTGCCTGAGACTCGGCAAGCTCGTGCTGTTGAGCGGCCTCGTCGACCTGGCCTGGCTCTTAGGCACCATCAGTCACGTGAGCGCACGGCCCTGGCTCTCCTTGACCCTGTACTACTCCAACTTCGTCCTGCACGCCACCCTTCTGCGCTACACCGTCAGTCTCGTCCTCGTCCAGCATCTGTACGAGCTCGTCAATGCGAGACTCGACGAGACGATCGATTCGTCCAGGATCTGGTCGACGACGACGACGACCGCAGCAGCAGCAGCCGTCGATGTGCGCCTGGCGCGTCTACTGCACAGCCGCTGCACCGAGGCCGTGCGAGATCTCGCGGCTTTTTTTTCTCTACCGATGACGGTCTGCCTGCCGAACGTGCTGATGTCGGCGCTACTGGCCGGCTACTGGATCACCAAGCCCATGCAGCCGAACAACGACAACAGGATCGGTTGCTTCGTCTACGCGCTGCCCTTCGTTTATCATATTATTCTGTTGGCCTGGAGCGCCACTGGCACCGTCATAGAGGTACAAACAATTGTTGACAGGAAAAAAGAAACAATGAGCCGATTTTATGCATTATCGCAGAGCAAACGTACCAGCGGTATCGTCAACGAGATCTCGCTTCAGCTCGTCTCCAAAGATCCGGCGATAATCACCGAGGTATAATGTGACAATAAAAAAAAATGAATTACTTTTATACAATTTATAAAATACTTCACCTTTTTTATGTGTGGTTCACTAAAATTATGATATATACAAATTGATTGCATTTGTTATTCAGATCCTAAAATTAAAAAATGTTTATTTTCATTATATTAAATGGATTTAATAATGTTTATGATCATAATTTTAGGTTTTATTCTCTAATCTGTAATAATTCAAATTTCTTGAAAAACACTATTATATGTAAGATATTCAAATTAATTAATTTTTTTTTAATTATTTCATTATGTATTTTAATGTTTCTTTAAATTTAATTTTTTTATACTTTATAGAACAAATTTTCTAAATTTAAATCAATCAAGAATTATTATTATTAAAATGTATAAAAACTTATCACTAAATTTTATAATTCTTGACTGATATTAATCGTTGAGAAGAATTTCCCCAATATTCAGATTTATAATAAAGTGAATTTCTATTGATTTAATGATTGATTAGTTATGACTTAAATTATAATTTTCAACTCTTTAATTTCTATGAGTTTTTATATTCAAATTATATTTCATAGTTTAATGATACGTTTTCATCGTTTTCTCTCTCTTTGCAGTTGAATCTATTTTCCATGCACCTCTTGCACGCGGACGCGCGAATCGGCGTCTACGGCCTGTTCACGATCGATGAGTCACTGCTCGTGTCCGTAAGTCCGAGTCTCTGCGATATATCGGTTATCGGTACTATATAACAATATGTACGAATTAAAATTTTTTCGTTCTAGATCGCCGGATCGATCACCACGTACTTGGTCATCATCTTGCAATTTCGCGACCAGTCGTAGAAAAAAGTCGTAGCTCTATAGTAATAGAGGCTTGTTTACTTGGAGCAACGCAATTATTAGCTGCTGTTGTGCTGTTGACGACGCGACTAGCGTCAAACTCGAAAAATTAGTCACTATTTCAGATATAAATTGAAAGAGAGAGAGAAAAACTCTCGAGGAATGTCGTCTGAGTCATTCGGAGCCGATGATTAACCCGCGAGGAAAAGTGGGAGTTAAACGCTGGTACGTGCTGAAATGAAAAAAAAAACGAGATCAAAACACAAGCGGTGTATCAATAGATTAAAAAATGTGTATTTGCACGTTTCATTCTTATACAATTGCATTACAATGGCAATAAGAGTCATCATTGGAAGAGCAGGTATATTACAATCCTTCGGTATGAAGATCGCAGACTGATGGATTATCATAATTATTACTAAAAAAAAAGTAAAAAAAAAAACAAACAAACAATCTACACGATGAATTGTTATACAAAACTTTTCTTTTCATATAATATATATAATAGACGCAGATGAAGTATATATGTAAAAAAAATAATTAAAATACGGGCTTTAAAAACGAATCTAATTCGTAATTATGCACAATAATAATAATATAAGTCGTTAGATTTATATAGATATAGTTATCGGTGTGCGTGTATAGTAATCGAAAAGAGAGAAAAAAATTCGGCGAAGAGAGAAGAACACAGGACCGCGCGCAGCACTCACAAAAGTTCACGTTTTCGCGGCATTCGAAAAATGGAATATGCATTATCTTATTCTCACAAATCGTCGTGTTTTCAACAAGACTCATCATTATCGTGCATCTATTTCTCTCTTTCTCTCTCTCATTAACGTGCGCTCACTTATTATATCACATAGAAGAAGTCCTGTTGTGCTTTCTTTTTCGTTTCGTTTGTCTTCGACTCTGTATACTTGCAGCGAGCTTAAAAACTATATACAAGTTTTAATTTTCTTATTGCTAAGTGAGTTCAATCATTCGATCTTATCCTTTTTGTTGTTTTTCGTCCTTTTTTTTAATCGTTAGCGATTACTTAAACGTTACATAGTTATACTAGTATGTATACAAAGGTAATTCAAGGGTACAAATATAAATAAATTTTGTCAATTGAATATTAACTTTTTGATGCTGTGCAAGTACTTTTGTTACCCCGTTCGCATCATCGAAATTTATTAAAATACAATATCATGATTTTTGTACCATTCAACCAATAGTTAAAAATTTTTAGATTAAAGATTTCAAAAGAATAAAGAATCATGCACGCATCTCAGAAAGTAACAGAGAATGACTTATTGAGAATGGTCACTTGCTCATCATTCTAGACTTCTTGATTTTTACTTTTTTTAGATGCACTACTAGCTATTTTAACTTAATTTGATTAAAAAATATTTTTAAAATACAAAAGTATTCACAAGCACGAAATACAATTATGAATTCATTGTGCGAGACAATTCTGCGTCTCCACTCTCTAAACAATGTCCAGATTGATCTAAAGATTTATAGAAGCTGTTCAATTATTTCTTAAATCTTTTTATATTGTGCCCTGTGTTATTTTGAATTTTGTACAATGCCTTTCGCGTATTTAATGGTAATTTTAAATGAATGTACAAAAATGCATGCACAATATTCAAAATACTGTTTTAAATGATTTAATTATGCTGATGACATTGCATGCATATTCTTACACATATATGCATACAAATTGTGAAAATTCTGTACCTATGTATTTGTTGATATTAGAGGCCAGATAATCACAGTAAAATATTTATTGCCTTCATTTCAATATTTCTGAATGATTTTATCAAAACGAACAACAGTTTGTGCAACATTTTTCAACTTTACCATTGAGTTTATATTCATAACAAATTCACAGAGTAAAAAATTAATACAATCATGATCAATATAGCTATAACTACACTTATCATACCAATACTTAAAAAACACTTAAGCAAGTATTGAACACTTGGAAAAATAATATTACTTCATCGTTCTTTAAATAATTTGTATCCTTATGTCAGAATCATAAGGAGCAGGTAATCAGAATTTCAATTTTAAAGATATTTTCATCGTCAACAATAGAAAGTTCCATCAACGATTTACTGTAAATTGCATTGATCATTAGCAGTTACAAAAGTTTTTAAAACTGGTAAAATATTGTACAATTTTGCACTGTTTTTCACTTTCTTCGTGACTCAAGTGAAAGGTATATGCAAACGTTCTTTCAAAAATCAAATTTGGTATCTATCCTCTAGTAAAATTAGAGGATAGTGCACCGATGTTTTCTGCGACTCGAATTGCCGGCCTTCATACGCTTCCTCTTTTCTTTGCCCCTTTGTTCTTTATCCTTACGTATTTCTCGCACCTAATGAAAAAAATTTTATTTTTAATCTGTGTTAGTAGAATTTTGTACCGTGAAACTGAATAATTTATAGAACACAATTACTTCAAAAGCATGCAATTTTATGTGATAAAAATAATTTATGTTGTCTTTAAATTTTATAATTGACTATTATTTCTAGTTTAACTAAAAATTATTTTGTAAACAATATAAAAAATCAATAATACTGCACACTGAATTTTTTATTTTATTATTGTAATAGCACTAACCAAAGTGTAAAATGCGTCGTCTACTCCCATCCTGGTTTTTGCAGATGTTTCAACAAAAGGAACTCCGTACTGCCTGGCAACTTCTCGCGCTTGTGTCATGTTAACAGCCCAAGATTGCTGTAAATCACATTTGTTTCCAACAAGTACCATTGGCACTTCTTCAGCATCTTTAACCCTCTTAATTTGTTCACGATATGTTCCTATATCCTGTTTATGAGAAATTTGGATAAAATTATAGATAGCTATATTATTTATGAACTGTCAAAATCATCCATGAATGGAAATAAAGATTAATTGCTACCTCAAAACTTTTGGCAGAGTTAACAGCAAATACAAGTAAAAAACCCTCTCCCGTCCTCATGTACTGATCCCTCATTGCACTGTATTCTTCCTGACCTGCTGTATCCAAAATATCCAGCAAACAGGTTTCTCCATCAATGACAACCTAATATAAACAAGCAATCATGATTGACTGCATATCAAATCTACAGCAACAAAAATAGAATAAAAATGCATACCTGTTTTCTGTACGAATCTTCAATGGTGGGATCGTATTCGTCAACAAAATGATTCTGGATAAGCTGGATCGTGAGGGCTGATTTTCCAACGCCACCAGCACCAACAACAACAAGCTTGTACTCAGTCATTTTAAAACTTAACAGAGAGGTTCAACGATTAATGAAAAATTTCACAGCAGGCTACTAGCAGTCCATGAATCTGTAATAAAAAAAAAAAAGTTATGTACTGCGGTCAGGTCCTAAACCTCTCATAATTGATTCGTATAATGTCAAAGCAGTTGCGTGTACATTGTGCAATTTCAAACAGCGAGCATAAGAAATAAAAGCATGACGGGGCCCTGAACTGACTATAAGCAATACAGTCAAAAGAGAGAGAAAGAGAGAGAGAAAGAGATTGATCAATTGATAATAACCACACGAAAGTTACACACATTGAATCTTTCAGTTTCTTTAAATTAGTGACTCATGAGTCATTTATAAAATTGAACGTTATATATTTTTCTTCTTCTTCTCTTTTCATTGCATTCTCCATGCACACACACACACACACACACACACACACACTAACACACTTTACACCGTGTGCGCGTTCAACGAGTCGGCGGCCTCAGAGCTATGTAACTTTTTTTTTTATAATCGCCGAAACGATGAATCGCACACACACGCACACGAGTCAATCTCTCAAATTTCAATTTTTTATTCACGTAGGAATTCACATACGCACACACTCGCACGCACGCACACTCACAGGCGCGCAAGATGAGAACACGGAGCAGAGCAGAGCAGCAGTATAACAAGCTACAGCAGCAGCTGGGGGAAGTGGGAAAAAAGAAAGTTGATTTTTCATATAAACACAAGCGAGCGCTCACTATGTATACACACACATCGCGCGCAGAGGCACAACCCTTTGGGACAACGAGACAAAAATGCAGCGGCAGCGGCGGCGGCGGCGGCGGCTCACCTATTCCTCTGATTATATCGTACGCACATACTCGTATGCACAGTAGCAGTTGCGTACATGTATATCTATGTATATGTAAGCACAGTCACAAGCACCGAGAGCGTTGTATGATACAATAGAAGAAGAATCCCAAGCAGTCGTCGTAGCCGTCGCGAAAGGCACAACTTGGCAATAGACAATAATAACTTGTCTCTCTGTCTCTCTTTTGCGCTGCTCTTCTCTCTTTCTCTCTTACTCTCTACACTTTATGCACGAATATATACAGATAATGTAATCGGCGATTACACTCTCTTGTGCACGTATATAAACACACATGCGTGGATGTATGTGCGGAGAGACACGCCGCAAAAAAAAAAAAAAAAAAAGAGAGAGAAAAAAGAGCAAGTGAGCGAGAGTCGCACACACGCATATGTGTACAAGCGAATATAGGTGTATTTAATGTTGTACCCGAAAATACAACGGGAAGAGGGAGATCGAGAGACAGTATAAGAGTGAAAGAGAGACAGACAGGGAGAGAGAGAGAGAGAGAGAGAGAGAGAGAGAGAGAGAGAGAGAGAGAGATGAGATTGCACGACGATTCACGTATATTCACATAGAAACAACAACAAAATTATCGCGAACACTCCCTCATATTATATTTCGAGGTTAAAAGGAAAGGAGTCGGAAGAATTTTTTTTTTGTTTATAAGCTTGGACCCCGTGTCACACACATAAGCGTCGTCGTCGTAATGTTTATTATTATGTATTACATATATACACACACATTACACACATATATTGAAAATGACGCTACGTACTATATATATATACATGCGTTATATCAACAACACGGCGTTTATATGCGCGTCCGACTCCGTATATTATACTACGTCGGCGTCGGCGGCGGCACGTCTCTCCTCGCGAGTCTCGAGCCGTCGTGGTCTGCACGGCAGAGAGTTACGTTGGCTGTTGCTGCTGCTGGGGCGGCGATTTTCTTGCGAACACTACTTCGGATCTGTACACACACACACACACTGTATTACACTATGCTTATCTATACACTACTACGGCGACTACTACTACTGCTGCTGCTGCTGTTGCAGTGCTGCGGCGCGCGAGCAGCGATGATCGTACATGAGTGTGTTATTTGCACGCACCGATGATGATGATGATGATGATTTGACTTGGAAGGATGACTCATGTGCGCATGCGGTCCAGTCGAACCCCTTAAAAATTTCTCTTGGTTGGCTGCTGAGGATATACGTGTATTTTAGCGCAGGCTAGAAACTAGAAAGAGAGAAAGAGAGATGGTATGACAGCTGCTGCTGTCTGTGGACTGTGGCGCGCTGCGCGGCCGATGCAAAAAGGAGGGAAAACGGCAAACTTTGCTTGAAGTTGTATAGTCACGTTGCGTTCGCGCGAGCCAAGGGTGTTTGTTTCCTGTGTCTCGAGTCTAATTATTCAACACCAACAACAACAACAACAACAAAATGGTTACGGCAAGCGGCTGCTACACGCGCATCACCGGCTCGCAATTGTCCCGTTTCGTCGACGATACCGTCATCTTGATAGGCGAGATCAAGAACGTAAGCTAGCTATACTAGCGCGTAGTAACCTAAACCCGGCGAAATTTTCAGTGTTTTTTATATCTTCTTCTTCATATATTGGAAGGTCGGTGCCAACGGCAAAGCGGTGGAGATCGAGACCACCGACAAGATGTCAGTCAACGTCAATCTGCCCGAGCCCCTCACCGGCTACGAGGGCTATCTCGAGGTCTACGGCAAGCCGGTGACAAAGTCCACCCTCACCGTGCACAAGTACAACTACTTTCCACCGGAATTCAGCGCTAATTTTGGTAATTATGATGAACATAAAGTAGAGTGAATTAGTGACCACCGAATGTACTTTGAATTGTTTATTGCATGTGTGTGTGTGTGTTTATGAAAATTAACCCTAATTGGCTTAAACGATATATGAATCTATTTTCATTGCGTTGTTGCAGAATCCGACAAGTACAACCAATTTCTTTCGACTCTGCTAGTGCTGGGCGATTCAAAATGGAAAATCGATGACAACTAACAAAAACCGTACAACTTTTTTGTAATAGTTTTATCCTTGTCATAAGGCTGATGAATATAGTGTTGTACACTACTTTTATGAAAATATAAGCTTTTGAAGCTGCAAGTTTCGTGAGAAACAATCATGCCTGGATACAATTTAATAGTATTTATATTTTAATGTTAAGCATTTAATAGCACTAAGTATTATGTATAATAATAGAAAACCTTTTTTTAATAAAAAAATAAAACTGTTGCATCAAGAGGTAAAATAATCTATTGTCACTGTTCTTGTTGTTTCATCTTTTGAGAATTGATGAATAAAAGAGTTAATTATTTTATTCTTAGATGAGATATTGACTTATTATAACATATTTTTTAAAAGAAACCCTCTAATTTAAGACAACACCATAACAATTGAAAATAGTGCAACATATAAATTATTGGTATAATAATGTGTTAATCGGAGCTACGTCAAACTATTTTAGGTTCAATAGACTCGAAACTGTGGTTTAAATATTATATTTAATACAATTGTTATATCAACAAGGTAGGCAGCTTAATGTTTTATTTATAGTAATTTATTGGTGATTACTGAAAGGAATATTAATCTGTAAATAAACACAAGTGAAAAAAGCTTACAAATATCATTAAAATCACCAATCTTCTTCTTTCCAAAAGCTCGACAAATCTTTGAAAATGTCGACGCCTAATTATCATATACTCAATTTTTTTTTTTTCGCTTTACAAAGAGAACTCGAGTCGCTCGAGTCAATTATCGATTCTTCTCGTATCAGGTCGATGTTGACGCGCGTTCTTCCGTCTTCAGGTTTGACGTCATAGATCAGAATTCAATTTTAATAACTCATGGAATTAATTTATCTCTGATTGAACGAAAATGTTTTGCGCAAAATCTAAAACGACGCGTCGTTTTGGCCATGCGATTGCCAATTCGGGCCACTACGCATTCGCTATTAAAAGCCATTTAACGAGTTATTATCCGTGAGTTTTATAAGATTCGCAACGTTTTGAATTTAAAAATGGGTACAAAAGGGTAAATGATAACCAGAAGTCGATAATTGTAAAATGTATTTTATTTTATTTTATTTTATTTTTTTTCTTTTTTATATATCTTTTTCTTTTTGCACATCTGCACAGCATATTTGCAAAAAAGTATAAATATAAAAGTAAAAAGGAAACGTCTCACAGAGGTTCTTTTTATTTTCGTTATTATTATTATAATACACAGGCCACGTGCGCATCGATCGCACGTCGCAAAAACGACTTTTGTATAATTTTTATATACAATAAAACTTAAAAAATGTATACAATTTATTTATGCATATTCTTTATTCATATATAATATTTATATATTTTTATAATATGTAATCGTCAGCTACACGATCAATGCGTATATGATCGTGCAGAGCCAATCTTTATCACAGCAAACGAATCGAATAGGAGATCCTTTTTTTTTACGAAATCTATAAAGTTTATTCGATACTTGAAAAATTTTATTTTACTAGCATACATGTGTGTCTCTTGCGAACCGACCAACGCGTGAAAATATACCAATCGCGAATGACTCGACCTGCTCTATTCGTTCCATTCACTTTACAATTTTGTTATCTTAGGCTTTGAAAGGTTTTTTTTGAAAGGACTCGACACCCTTACTTTATTTGGCTCTCGTATAGTGAAAAAAATAAAGGAAAAAAAAGGTCGGGGAAAGATGCGAACGCGGCTGCGTCGAAAAGCGAGAGGAACTTGATAAGAAATAATGGTAATTCCAAAGTCTTATAATTATTTTATTACTGGCCCGAATGTCGTTCGCATCTTTCAAAATCGTAAAAGTAATCAGCAATGATTTATATCGATGATTGCTTGGCACTTTTGTAGACTAGTGTGAAAACTATGCTAAAAAAATATATATCGTCATCATTTCTATGCATAATTAAGCTTTGATTTAAGCTCTCCTTAGCAGTAATATCGTGTAAATTGATATAAAAATTTACCATCCTGTTTCAGGAGTTTTATGTACACAGGATTAACCTTTAATTATGCATTCACATGATTAGGTACTTAAAAAAAAAACACACACATTCGTCTCGAATGCTATGATTTTAAGGTAAGTAAGAAACGTTGTGCTGAATATCAAGTTTTGTATTATCATTCATTATCGTACGCACGTTGTGGTATTTCAAAAAAAAAAATAAGTAGAAAAATTATTTATAGAGGCAGTATAGGAAGTCTTTAAAATGAAAATAATGCAACGAAAAAAAAAAAAAAATAATGAAATGAAGAGTTCACGAATGAAAAAGACAAGCTCAAAAGCAAATTGTTGACTATGGTGCTTGGAATATGTTTGAATCATTACACATTTATTTACATATATTCATCATCTACAGTTTAAACGTATCTATATAATACAAAAATGTACAATACTTTACATCGTTTAACTTCATTACTTTTTTAAATGAATTTCTTTTCGTAATTCTAAAATACATCGTCATTTTGGGCACTTGCACATATATCGTTATATATAATTCAATTCGTTTTTGGAATTGACAATCAAATCGAACAATTCTTAAAAAAATAATAATCACTATGCAAGTTCCCAATTTTCCAAAATAAATTTTTAGAGGCTATAATTGTGATAATAATTTTATGTAAAGCTTAAAAGCGGCAATGGTAATAGTACTAAAAGTATTCATAATCGTAGGTAGTGATCGTTGTGATAACAATCATTATAATAATTTAACAATAATAATCTTCTTTTTTCTACGTCCCCTCGCGACTCTCTCATGTAATTTATTCATCAACTTACAACAACGAGAATCGCACTTAGTGGAACTTAAAGTAAACGGCTAAATAGTTAAACAGCCGGTAAGCGTATGTTGTAAATTCGACGTCTCGTTTACGCCCAGGGAAAAATTCATAAACATAATTTAGCCTGGTCTACAATTTTTGTTTTGTACCGTTATCGGAAGGTATTCCATTGATTTATTATCTCGAGTTTTGATTTCGAGAATTCTATCGTATTTACAAACTGAATCAAAATTTTAGGTAAAAAAAAAAAACAAAAAAAAATTAGTGTACATTCAATTCATTTAGTGTGTAAATTCATTTGTTTTGTAAAACTGCCTTTCACGCTTCAAAGATCTCAAAAATTAACAATAACATGCGTGTCGACACGTCGCATTGCGCAAGAATTTTGCAATGATAACAAATTTAAAACGACGATTCTCATTAGGATTTTTAAAAAATCAAGGTTTCAAGAACGTCATCGTAAAAGTCAATTTTAAAAACGTATAAATAACGAAACCTTCTAACGATTATAATTGATTTCAAAATTTTTACGGAGAACAGAGAACGATTTTTTAACTTTAAATCCATGATTCATTTTGTTATGATTCAAAAAAAGCAAGACGTTTGATATTGTTATAAAAGTTTTTGATTTCATTTTTTCAATCATAATTTCGTGAGAAACTCATTTATCAAGCATGATGGCTTTTATTTAAAAAAAAACTTTAATTTTCTCAAGAACAGACATCTCGCAAAAAATGAATGCTCTCAGGGCTTGGTTACTTTTTACACTATTCAATTTAGTAATATACATTGTAAAATATGCAGCAGTATTTTCCTCCAAGTCAAAACAGATACTTTTTCATTTTTTTGTTGATCGGTATCCGTGCCAATTAAATAATATAATTCTCTTATCTGTCTAATATCAATTTTAAATAAATACCTAAATTTTAATTCTAATTTCTCTCATGAGCTTATCGTAATAAAGTCTACCGCTGTGTCAACTACGTACGATCATCGTTAGAAAATGATTGATTCAGTTGTACAATTGTAAATTTGAAGTCTTACATGCTACGATTCTTCGAGAAGAAAAAATAATTACGAACTATAACAAGATTTTTTTTTTGACAAGTATCGATCAATTAGTCAGCTGGCTATTTTACCCCATTTTTCGTGGTTTTTGCGACTGTACATAAAAAATAAGGGGAACATTGATCGTTCTTGTCTTCGATCGTAGATACTCTCTCCCATGTGGTGTGATATGTGGTCAACGAGAGAAAGACGCGATCATCGTTATTTTTTTCTCTCCCTCGAACGACTGTCTTTTTAAAGGCAAAAAAACCAACAACAACAACTAGCAAGGCCTCGTCAAACCGTTTAGGACCTTATCTTGGCGGTCCCATTGAATACTGGTTTGTTCCCAACGACGGTATAACCGTTCGTCTCCCTTTCGACCTTCTTGGTGTACTCTTCAACCTCGTCGGCGAGCTGGCGCCTCTTGAAGCGCCTCAGCTCGCTCGCTACATTACGCAAAAAAGACACTCTGGTCTCGAGATCGCCGTGAATCGTGTACAAGTAAGAAAGCAGCTCGGTAAAATCTGAAACAGTTTGATAAATATCGTTCGGCACATGTTAAAATACTTTTAGGTTTAAAGATTGTGTATCAATTTTTTTTTTTTTTTTTTTTTATTTAACGCAAGTAATTGGGAGGAGTTGCGACACCCGAGCTTTAAATTTTAAAGCTATATGTTTCGGGTCACAAGTTTAATAGTTAAGTCGGTAAAGCAGATTTCACGAAAGAGATAAATAATAACAACAATAAAAAAAGGGTACTCACTCGTTCTTTGCCGCCGCACGGCTTTGTACACCTCGGCCATCACGTCCTTGTTGTGCTGCCTGATGCTCTCGAGCTTGCTCTTCGACAGCGGCCTGTCCTTTTCTAGCTTGACGTCGGCAGCCCTAGGCAGGATCAGCGGCGACTGCGACGACGCTGGTGCCCTCTCGTCCACGTGATTGGCCCTCAACGACGACGCCGACTTGTTAGCACTGTAACTTCTGGCACCCACCACTCCACCGGCACCACCAGCACCACTACTACTATTGTAACTACTCGTATTACCGGTTCCGATAATAGATTTGACGTTGCTCGTAACACCCTCGAGTTCGGCCTCGAGTCTCACCGCACTGGCGACGTCGTACATCAACTGTCCGTCGACCCGCCTCGACTCGACTCGACTCATTTCAGTCTTGTTGGCGATGATGCCTCTACTGTTAATGTTGTTCATCATAAAATTATTCGCCCCGTCACTTTTGTTGGCGCACTTCTTCGCGTCGACGTGATTGCTCAACACAACACCACCACCGACACCGACACCACCACTAATATCACCGTTGTTGCCGTTGCCGCCTTCGAGGGCAGCGGCGACGTTGTTGAGCATGCCCAGGGTGCCGTTCACCAGTGGCGAGTGTTGCAGCAGATTCGCGTTGTTGTTGCTGCTGCTGCTCGTCATCGGCGCCATCATCATGGGACCGTACGAGGCGGCGTTAGGCACTGAGTTAACGGAATTCGGATATCTGTTGACGTTGTTGATGCTCGGCACGACGAAGGGTGGATGAAGAGCCGGCGGCGAGGTGGGTGGCGACGACGGGAACATGATCTCGTCTCTCCAGGGAATGGGCGAGCTCGACGGCGAACTGGCGGGCGAACTCGAGGTCGACGAGCACATCGACGGCCTTCGCAGGGTGAAGTCTCTCGCTAGCGGTCCCGGTTTGCGCTTGGGGCGAATCGCTGCCCCCGCCGGCGAAAGATCGGACGCCGGTCGTTTCTGACCCTTCTGTAAGTCGTCCTGATTCCTCGATTTCGACTTGTCCGGCTCCATATCGGCTTCGTCCACCATCATTCTTTTGTCGATTTTGAAGGGATTGCCGAACATGTGCTGCCGGACAGGTTGAGATTCGATCTCCTTGAGGGGCGGCGTCGAGCGCTTCAGATACTCTTGATAGTTGCCCATCTGCGCCACCGGCATGGAGTGCACGTAGTCGTCGTCCAGCAGCTTGGTGTACTGTAGCGCCGGCTGGAGAAAGTTGGCGCGCATCCTGATCACCTGGTCGAGCAGAGCCTTCCTCGGTATGTCGAAAGCGTTGCGGTAGCTCTGCGCTCCCCTCTGCTGCTGGCGATTCTTGACCAGGCCGACCGCGAAGTCCTGATACTTGCTCAATTCTAGACGCAATTCGTTGCTCAGCTGTTGAAATTAAGATAATAATAATAATAATAATAATAATACGATGGTTTTTGAAGATGGTGGTAAGAGAGTCCCGAAGGAAAATCGCGCTGTACTCACCAGATCTTTTTTCAGTGTGGTGCGCGACGTCACGCGCAGACCCTCGATAACCGCGCTGGATCCCGGGTTCGTCAAGCTCTTGCTGAGCGTCAGCTCGCTGACTTTGGAGCAGAGCCGGTCAAACTCGTTCTTCGCCGTGTTCTTCAGACGCTTCAGGTAATTGCTCACGTTGTAGGACAGCGAATTGTCCATATTGTCGGGCAACAGGGACTGTATCAATGGTCCCGGCGCGTTCATCTTGATCAAGGCTCTTCTCATTGGCTGCACGAAATCAAAAAAAAAAAAAAAAACGGATTGTTAGTATTTCTGTCTTTGCTTTTTTTGCGAAAGCGAGAATTCAAACTCACGGGTACGTAGTACGAAGGCATTATCTTCATATAATTGTTCCACGCGGCTCTCCACTCGAGCGTGGGTTTGCCTCTGTGCACCTTGAACAGGTCCTCTAGCATTGGAAGTAGCATCGGGTAATTGTAAGGCATGACGAACAGATTGACGCAGTCGAGCTTGGTGCTGGCCTTGAGATAGCCGAACGGATGGCTGACGTCGCTGGACTTGAACGAGTTGGCGACGAAGACCTGCCAGCAGACCGTCGGCTGCTTTCTCGCCAGTATGTACTGCGTCAACGGGCTCGGCTCGAGCTCGTACTTGTCGAAGGGCAGATTCTCGATGACGAGCGGCTCCTGGCTTACACAAGAAAATTTGACGACCGGATGCGCCGATCTGGCCGGCAGCGAATTGGCCACGGGATCCGGCCAGAAGCTCTCGGGTATGGGCCAGTAGCCCACGGCGTATCCCTTGCTCGCCGTCTTCTGCACGTAGATGAGTTTTCGACACGAGTGCCACGCCGTGTTGTTGTTGAACTGATTGTTGTTAAGGATGGGACCGGCTGGCCCCGGAACTGCTAGAGCTTGTGGCGGTGCTCCTGGTGCTGCTCCCGCTGCCACTGGCCCTAGCCCTGGTGCGTTCGGATAGGCTGGATTTCGAGGCGCCTATCGAGAAAAAACGAAACGTCGTTAGAATCATCCGGAAAGCTCGACGAATCGAGTGTAAAAAAAAAAAAAGTAAAAAATAAAGGGTGTGTGCTTGCTGCAGCTCCGTCGGCTTAAAGACAGAGATCACGACGAGACTTTGTTTCGATGATGGATACTCACCACCCCGTTGGGAGTATGACCAATCGCATCATCGTCGTGCTCGTCGTCGTCGCCGCCGCAGTGCTGCTGGACACCGACGACACCGACACCGACACTGACACCGACACCACCACCCGAGGGCATTACCTCGTTCTGCGCCAACGCCACGGGTTGCGGATCCGGACCGAATTTCTCGAAGTGAATGACCACGCCCGCCTGAACCTTTTGCACGAGCGAGTCGATGACCTGCATCATCATGCGATGCGACGTGATGCAGTAGGAGCGGCCGCCGGTAACCTCGCACATGGCGTCGATGGGCGACAGGTCCGACGGCACGAGGCCCGTGTCTCGCTCGACGGCCGGAGTGCCCGTGAGTCGGAGCACGAGCGAGAACAGCCTCTGGTCCCAGCGGAAGGGCTCCTTGGTCAGCTCCGAGCCGGGTATCAGCACGTTCATGGGTAAAGTGAACTAAAAAAAAAAAAAAAAAGAATCAAACGAATGAGTTGGAAAAATTCATCATTGGGCATTCGAGGGCGATATCGATCTCGACTCACGTCCGGATGAATTCCGTTGGCGTTGGTGTACTTGCCGCCGTCGGTGATGACCACGATGACCGACGGCTCGAGGTAGAACGGACAGCGGCCCTGTCCGTAGGTGTCGATGCCGGTCTGCATCCGATTCAGATTCAGCACGTCGAAGGCGTTCTTCAGCGCCGCGCCCATGTTCGTGAGACCGACGCAGGACAGATTCTTCAACTCGTTCATGAACGTGTTGAGATTCTCTTTCCAACCGGCCTGTTGTGCAGTGGCGCGCGCGTGCATAAAACAAAGAGAAAGAGAGCGCATCAATTATTATGCTCGTCTAACGTTTCCTTTTCTTTACATTATTTTGTTGTTGTTTTTTTTTTAAACGAGCGCGCGCGAGCGTCCTACATTTTGGAGCGACGCCAATTATGTATCGGGATAGGTTCGTACTCGGAAGCGCGTCTGTGTGTATGTGTTTGCATTTGTGTGCAACTTTCGACATCGCAGAGAGCACCATTGACTCCTTTGACGTAAATCGATTGTATTACTGATCGTAGCTAAATTATGCGCGCGATGGAGTGTAAAAATATCTCGTTTTTGGATATTTATAACTGCGAACGGATATCGATTACAAAAAAAGAAAGAAAAAAAATTAGAAAGGAAGCTCGGTCGGTAAGGAAGACGTCGCTGCATCTGGAAGTATTTTTTTTTTTTTTTCAACGCGATAAGAACGTGCAAAAGATACGCGAGATAAATTATTGTGCTTGACCGAGGATAAATTATGTAATGTTATTTTAACGTTTTTTTTTTAAAAAGGAAAATAACGAAAATAAGAAAACTTATGAAGAAGTGATAATTTTTTCAATGCTCTTCACCCAAATCATCGGAATGAATATAGTTCATCCATACAAATCATTACTCCACGTTTTGAAAAAAACGTGTTTTTTTTTTATGGAGCAATTTCGTGGTTTGACTTACAATATTTTTGTAGAATTGTTTGAATTCACATGTCTGCCAATATTCTTGCAAAAAATTCATTTCAGCTCGAACTAATGCACCAAACTTTTGTAAAATCATAGTTTGAGCATTTCTGTTGAATTTGCATTGCTGGAAGTATTGACATTGTTCATATAGAATATCATTCATTTTTTAAGGGGTTACAAAAACCCCTCAAGTTTTTCATTCAAAAAACATTGTAGTCATCGGTGTGTGTTGGTGAAATGTCGGAGGGGGGCCTACATTCATTCGTCTTTTTTGTTCTAAGCATTAAAAAGTATCATTTCATCATAGGTTTCATGTTAAATTCGTCGTGAGCTTTCCTCCAAATCTCAAGCCATCTGAGATTGAGATCTGAAAAACAGAATTAGTAAAGCTATGGAAGTAAAATAGTAGTGAGTGTACCTTTATGTTGTTCGGAGTATCTTCAAATGTTAGAAGCATATATCGATCTCCACGACTGTCTTGTGACCTTTGCCTTATCTGTAACACAATGTAGTTTACATGAATCCAAGGTACATGAATGTTTTCAAAGTACATATGATATATACATTTTTGATAGGTAACATATAAACAAAAGAACCTCCATTTGATCACATCAATTGAACACAAGTTATCATTAACACTAATGACTTTATTACATATAATTGGCAGCTTTTTTATTACAATTGTTACAAGTTTCATTGAGATATTGTTCTTACCTTGACAAAGGTCTCCACTGCGCTCTTGGCCACATCGAGCAGCGTTGGCCTACCTCCCAGGTAGGCCCTCTGATTCATCGATGCTGATGTATCAACGAGAAATACAATGATGGTCATGTTTGCGATTCTTTTGCTCACATACACAACCTGAATAATATACTTGATATGAGTAAAATTGATAATATCCTCAATTTTGTATAGATTATCCGCGAGTTTTTTTTTAAATTTTTTTTTATAAAAAATGTTTTCTCTTTTTTACTTTTTTTTTTCTCTCTCTTTATTTTTTGCTCAGTGAGTTCGTGTGTTTTACCTTGGCTGGATTTCGCCAGTACCGGCATCGAGTGCTCTCTGCTGCTTTTCGATTATAATTGGGAAACGTCTGCCCATCGTGTCAGCGCCCGTACTGAACTCGCTGCTGCTGCTCTCTCTCTTCCCTGCTTAGCACAAGCAGAGCACAGAGCCAATTTTCTGTTACCTCCCACCTTCCTCTTCGTTCTTCCTCGTACTTGATCGTACCGTCTCTCTCTATATATATATGTCTGTCTCTGTCTTTCTCTTGATTCCGACACTTTTTATATGAAAATGCTATTAGCCCCACTCCTGAGAAATGAGATTTCACTTGCTGCTGCTGCTGCTCTACTGCTTGGCTATAATGCGTGCTGCCGATACGTCACAACGTGCCGATCACTGGTTATTAATGCTCACAAAACGGTTATGATTTCTGCTGTTGAACAATTTTCGTCGTCCAGAGTGTCGATGTCACTTTTTCAGCTTTCGATTATTCTTTTATGCTTTAAATGTTGCTGTACTGCTGTAACCATGCAGTCGGAGCGCACGACGTGCTTGCTACAACTCTACTCTACTCTCTCTACTCTCTCTCTGTAGTAAATGACAGAACCTAACCTCGGCTTATTGTGGTGCGTGCGCGAAACGAAATTCGCACACAATGCGGAGTAGCGAGGAGATTGGCGGTTTCTGGTCGACAGAGCGCTTGCGCGCGAGTTGTATGCGTTCGTGTGTAATGCGTATGTATGGATGTATACAAACACACACACACACTAACGACGGGTCGGCGGACGACACAAACAAGTCGCGCAGCTCTGCTGCTGCTGCTGCTGCTTGAGTTAGAGAGAGATAGGAGTAACACAGCTGCTGGTCTAGCAGAATATAATACCGACAAGCGTACGAGAGAGAGAAGGAAGGAGAGAAGTCTCCTGTATATCCCTCTCTTTCGGAGCAATGCTGGCTGCGCGCGGCGACCGACGACGAGCTTTCGGTAGATATATATATAAACGTCAAAAGTATACCTATGTATATACAACGCAAGGTATATATCGCGCGGACTCTATATGTCTATATATATTTGCTACAGCTGAGCGGGATGTACACTACTGCTGCTGTTGGGCACGGGCTATATGCGCGACGCGACCGTCGATGTTGCCTGCGCTAAGTCAGCGGCTCAAATGCCGTCGGTCTGGCCGTCGTCGCGGCAGCTCGAAACGCTGCTAGTGCTGCTGGTTGATCGCCGCGCCACACACACACACACACACATCGGTGGTGCGCGAGTATGTATATATTTGCACGAAAACACACGCGCACACAAGGATAGCGTCTCGTGTATATGTGTGTATTAGAGAAATATTCGCGCTGCTGCTATGCCTCTGCTGCGCGCTACAAACGCGACGACGATGGAGAAAACGGTTGGGTAGAGGTGGCGGAGTGCGAGGGAGGGAGAAGCAGAAGCGTAGATCTAGAGGCTCGAGGTTGTGTGTTGAATTTGTATGTATTACAGACACACACACACACACATAGACACACGAGCGGCACGACGACTTCTTGTTGAAGAAACCCTTAACACTCCCCCTCCCTCCTCTCGGCTCCGCTGTGCCTGAGCGACACATATATCGCTGCAGCAGCAGCAGCAGCGAGTGCTGCTTTTCTGTGTATACGTGTGCGATATCGTGCAATGGTGTGTGCGATGGTACACGCATATACTGCAGACACGCACACTTACGTTTTACAATGCCTTTGCGCTACTATAACTAATACCACGATACGGAGTTACGAGTTGGACGTCGTGTACGTTTGAGTGTGTGTGTGTGTGTGTGCAGATGTAAAGCTCGTTTTACGATAGTCCCATGTTTTTTGTTGTTGTTCCAGAGTTGAGAGATTGTTTATCGAGGAAAACCACGCACCTCGTCAAAAGTCCTATACCTGTTCTCGAGGACGAGCCTTTCGACTCGGAGCCCAAATAACATTGTATCAATCCTACATCCAAGGCAGCGCGTAGGTATCATCGTCTTCGTACGGGTAAAGCTACGTCTCCACCGAACTCAATATAGTAGCTTCGATTCGAGAATGATAATCTCCGTTTCTCTCTCTCTCTCTTTCTCTCTCCACTATGTCGTATAGCGATATCCTCCGGACGATACGATGCGGAATGCGCCTGGGCCAAAGCCGCCGCTGCTGCTGCTTCCCAAAGAGACTTTTTGGTTTTTCGGAAATATCGTGTAGCATAATTCACGAACAAACGGGACATCTCGGCTATCTTTCCTATCTACGAACGAGTTTCATAGGCCTCGATGAACGTTCACTCGATACATGTACTCTATAAAAAAACGTCGATAAAGCTCATCGATGTGCCGAGCTGCGAAATTAACTCTAATGACGCGTGTATAAATACACGTATGGGCATATCGTTCTCAGTGTGCAAATAGCTCAATGTAACGTACACACGCACACACACGGTGCGCCGCACAGAACTTCATATCGCGCGTAGCAGCATAGCTATATTTTCCGAGTCCGAAGCAGAGAGTAGGTAGCTGCTAGTGCTGTGCTGCGCGGCGTTATGGCCGTAGGTATATACAATATACTTCGCCGAAGTAAAAAGTCGAAGTTGCGGCGGTGCAGCATGAAGAATAGAATAACGAGAGAACCTCGGGATGCATATTATATACGTTGCGAGAGGTGCAGCTCGAGCTTCGAATATATATTATATTCTCTATGTGTTTCTGTGTCTGCGTGTGTGCAGAGCAACGCATCTTGCGCGGGATGCATTTCATACAATAATAATAATAATAGTATCATATCGCATACACAATGGTCAGTGCGGACACACTCACACACTCACACACGAGGCATATATATATGATAAAGCGTTAAATGGTCGATCTATTAATTACGTTGTTGCGTCGCAGCAGCGCAAAGTATGTGCCATGCACCTATCTCGTTCTCGCTTCTTCTCTCTCTCTCTCTCTCTCTCTCTCTCTCTGTCTCTCTTTCTCGTGACTATATAGGATATACTGTATCGCTACACTCACGAGTGCTGCTGCTGCTGCTGCTGCTTCAATATAACATGTTTTATAACTATATATCTTTCTTGCGTTTTCGCACGCTTGCGCACCTCGGCGTATCACGCTCGTAGTTCGTACGTGTGTGTGTCGATTCTCCTCGTATACACACATACACACACATATAGACAAGAAGAGAGAGAGAGAGAGAGAGAGAGAGAGAACAGTGCCGCAGACTTGTGTACTTGTAGGCCATATAATACTCGCTGCTGCTCCGCAATTCGACTTATCATCGTGTCTATAACATAGATCACACATGTATAAATTTGTATTATCTCTGCCTATATATGAGTGTCTCTGTGTGCGTTTGTGTGGGTGTGGGTGGATGCGGACGAGGTGCATATTGTACACAGAAATATAAACGTATACATTTATAAAGTGTACGAGGCACACAAAGTTCGGAGCTTCTCTTTCGTTCATGACAGGTCCTGTGCAGCAGGTCGACGCAGCGCATATGAATAATAATGCGCTTTTTTCTCGAAGCAATGAACGAACTTTTATGTAACACGCACAGTGTGGCCTTTTAATAAAAGAGAAAAATCTTATATTAGGAGCAGCCGCATACACGGCGTTTACTATATAGATACAAGTTTTTGCGACGGCTTTTGGGGCATCCTCTGCTGCTGCTGCCTATAATCTCTTTCTCTCTCGGATGTCTCTCTCTCTATCACGACGCGAATCCGAAGTTTATGTCAACCTCGAATATAAATGTATACCATGAATGTAAATTGACGGTTCCAAGCAGAAAACTCATAAACAGAGCGAATGAGGGGCTCTGTCCATGCTAGTCTGTGCACCATTGTTATTATTGCTGGGTATGCTATACACACGGGTCGCCCTAACTACGCTTCGTTTACGTTTTACATCCATACAGGGTAAACTGTCGGGCTCTTCAATTTATCTCCCCTCCACTTCTTTCACACTTATACAGAGAGACTGCAGGTATTATATATGGAGGCAGCGCGCTGGGATGCGAGTATAAATAGGCTCCGCTTCGTTGACAGAGTCCCTCATTGCTGGTCGGACGCGCGAACCGAGTGCACTGCACCGACTTACATTATATGTACTTATTTTCTCGATTCTCTGCGGTGCAGCAAGACTACTTTCTAACAACGCCAAGTTTTTTTTGTATATTTTTGTCGCACTCACCACACACAGCTCGAGGTTCATAATATACTCAATTAGGTATATAAATAACGCGACTCGTGACGCGTGTCGCTGCGCCTGATATGCATACGTTTGTTTGTTTGGTTTTTTGCGCGGCTTATTAGGATCTGAATTTTTTCGATAATTAAAGATGAACAAGGAATCGACTTCTTAATGACATTGACGTCCACAGATAGAAATAATTAGAGGCCTGATAGTTATTGTAATGCAGCAGAGTATATTTATTTTCATTTTTTGTTTGTCTCCATCGACTCTTAAACATGCACCGAATAGGTATACATGCTTACATACGGTTCGATACCGTGCGGTAGTGAGAGCTTCTTATAACTTTTTCTGCGCTTGACAGATATGTAATAACGTTATAAAATTAAGACTCGGAAATCTGCGGCGTTGCGCTCTCTCTCTCTCGGTACTTTGCACGCAATTTTCAAACATGAATTAATACGTAAAAACGTATACCTCGCTCACGCTCGTGTATTACATTATAACTGTGCGTGATTAACGTAGCTTTTTTTTTTATTTTTACAATCCATATATATACGTATCACGTGTATACATAATGAAGCTGCGCAAGCTTTCTTTCTTATCGCGAGCGAAATTCTCCCGCCCGCTCTGCGACGAGCACCTCCTATATACCTATACACATTACACATTATTTTAACCACCGCAGGGGTGGGTGGTGCGCAATGTAATTTTCCACTCTGATATTTCATATATTTTTAGCCGATTGACCCGATTGCGCGCAGTTCTATAGTGTATATATGGCATACAATAATAATAATAATAATAATAATAATAATAACAATAGGAGCACTACATAGCAGTCAGCTCGTGTCCTTAATTCTTCCTTCGTGCGAATTTTACATTATATATTAGGTGGAATCTTGAAAGACACAATTTTCAACTCCTGTTTTTTCTCGTTATATTATATTCGCGGACGCGACGCGTCGCTGAAATTTTCATTTAATATGCTAAGCGTCGCACGCGGTTTACGACCGTGTATTACCTAAACACGTGCATATCGTCGCCCCAGCGCAGGAAGGTATCTATTTCCAAGCTGCAGCAAGAAGGATACTTACTCGCGCGCAGAGGCAAAAAGGTATCTAACTCGAGCGCAGCGGCAAAAAGGTATCTAATTCGAGCGAGAAGCAAAAAAGTAGCTTATTCAAACGAAGTGGCAAGAAAGTTTTGACGCGCCGAATTTAGGTTGGCAACGCAGCCGTAAATGATAAAATTGTGCTTTGTATTAGAGCAAAAAAGAGAAAAAAACGATTGAGCTAGTGTAATGATTTTCATCCATTTGTAATGCGAGCAAACAAATCAATCTCACCATGATTTCGACTCAATTTGCCACTTATGGAGAACATTGTATGTTATGAAAGGAAAGTAGAAGTTATCGGCTTTACATAGCTTTGAATTAAATGTTGAATGTTGCATGTTGAAACAAAATTTTATCATTTACGGCTCCGTTGCCAACCTAAATTCGGCGCGTCAAAACTTTCTTGCCACTTCGTTTGAATAAGCTACTTTTTTGCTTCTCGCTCGAATTAGATACCTTTTTGCCGCTGCGCTCGAGATAGATACCTTTTTGCCTCTGCGCGCGAGTAAGTATCCTTCTTGCTACAGCTTGGAAATAGATACCTTCCTGCGCTGGGGCGACGATATAATATCGAGTGCGTCGTTTTTTATGTATATATTTTTTTTCCTGCTCGATGGCTTCAGGCGCTAAAGCTAGGTAATAGAAGTAAGCATATTTTCAGGTTTTTATTTATTTATTTTTTATTTAGATTAATTTAGATTTTTTTATGACTAATAAGCACCCGATCGTTCGAAGAAAAAAAATCTAATTGTGTATTGTGACCAGTCATCTATGGATTAAATACACTCTCGATAAACCATCGAGCTAGTTACTCGAACGATCGAAAAATCGATCGATGCTGTAAACGCAGCGAAGTAGGGGCGCCGCCTACGCCTACCCATGTATCATTGTGATTATTGCCGTGTATTTTCGTGCACACGAGCGACCCCTACCCCGCTGGATTCAAGTACAAACGCATTTTATAATCTTTGAACCAAATTGAATAATTTCCACTATTACGACACATGGCTCTAGTCACTTTTATTTCTCGTGGCTTTGTCCGCGCATTCACTTTCTTTATGGATAGACAGTGTGCGCGCGTGGACTGTGATGCAAGAGATTTTCGTGCAACGAGTGAAGATATTACAATTTTTTGTATAAAATTCAATTGTGATTTGTCGAGTTCGCAGCTTCCCATCGGTCAAGCATTTTATTTCCGGTTCAGTTCGCGAGCAAGACGAAAGAGATAATGATAAAACCGAGCCTGTCGCTTTACCGATAAATTCGGAAAAGTAAAAGAGCAAATTTTCAAAAGTTAACCATTCAATTCTACAATTAAAACCCTAGTGAATGAATGATGTAACTGTAGAATAAAATCCCACAAAGGAGTTAAACGCTCTTTTTTCATTTTTTTTCTCGCTATTCGCTCGGTTTGTATCTCTCTCGAGTTACACTCGTACGAGATATACTAGGTGCTCCGAGCGAGTCAAGTTTTTTTTTTTNCTTTTTTTCCTTTTTTTTTTTGTTTTTTTTTTTTTTTTTTTTTTTGGCTCACGCCAAGAGAAAATGATGCAGTACTTGAAAAGGGATTGCCGGATACATGTGGGAACGTTGCGAGCAGGAGATGAAAAATGATAGGTACATCCACTTCTACGAGTAAACAGTTGTGATGTCGAAAAATCGAATTTTCATAAATCCAATACGTAGTTCAGATTTTCGTTTCAGAATCTTATAGGTATGTCACCGTAACAAGATAAAAAGTAATACGGACAAGATAAGGGCGAATAAATGATGAAAAATGAGAGAATTGACTCGAGATAAAATTCGACTTTTTTCGCAATAAACAAATATTTTACTCGTTTCTAAATGACTCATCGATGCAAAATGTGAAAATAATCCCATTTTAATTATCACGTCTATAACTGTCATTGTCGATCAGCTGGCGACTACAGCCGCACGGATACCCGAGTTTATGTATATGTATTGTGTACAATCATCCCGGTCATTTTCCGAATTAACACATTTCCAAAGTATCACACACAGGCCCGAAAATTTTCTCTCTTTACAAACGATCGTACATACTTGACGAGATCAGTCGTAGTAGCAGCAGCAGTAAGTAAGTAGTAAGCTCGTCGCCTACTTCGTGCGTGTGTATACGTAAACACGTAACACACCGAGCGAGTGATCGCGTGTTGTAGCGTGTGTGTAGATCCGGCGCCGAAAAAATTTTGTGCCCTCGAGAAGAAGAAAATGAAGCGAAAGCTGCAGCAGTCCTCGGTGGACATCGCCATCGAGGCGACCAAGAGGATCAAGTACAACGACGATTCGGTGCTCCACAACAATAACAATAACAACGACGAAAAGAGCATCGGCAGGAGACAGCACAAGCGAAGCGCCGATCTAAAAATCGGCGCGATAATCGAGGAGGCCCGTAGGCAGCTGCAGAAGCAGCAGCGCTGGACCGGCAACAAGAGGAAGAAGATAGTCGTGGTGTCCAAGCGCACCGACAAAAAGTACGACTACGTGCTGCTGATGCTCAGGAAGCCGATCGCCAAGAAATTGAAGAGCAGCAGCAGGAGGAGATCGTTATTGTCGAATCGGCAGGCGGCGGCAGCGGGCCCAATCACGAGAGAGCGACTGCTCCGAGTCTACGCGAGCCTCAAGCAGCAGGCCTGGAGGACGGCGAGCGATCAGCGGGATCGATCGTTGTCGTATCAGCGAGTCTTGGCGCGTTTCTACGGCGAGAAGATCCAACCCACGAAAGATCGCTTCGACTGGATCTGCAATTGGATGCTGAAGCGAGCCGTAATGGATCGCGATCCGGGCCTCGTCGAGTGGATGGCTCGCTGTCCCCTGACGCGAATCGTCCCGCTGGATCAGACCTCGGGGACGACGACCGTCGTACACCTGGCCGCGGCCGAATCGACGCGCGACGTTATACCGGCGCGACTGTTGGAGCTGCTGCTGGCGCGCTGCGATCCGCGCGCGAATCCGGCCGATCCGCGCACCGGCCTGAGCCATCTGCACGTCGCGGCCTCGACGGGTAATTGCCGCTTGATCGGGGCTCTGTTGGACGCGGGCGCCGATCCGAATCTGCGGGTAGGTCCGCCGGGCACGACACCGCTGCACTGCGCCGTGAGGGAATTTCGCTGGGAGGCCGCGAGGCTGCTGCTGGCGAGGGGCGCCGATCCCAGCCTGGCCGACCGCGAGTGGGCGAGGACGCCGCTGCACTGCCTGTGCGCCCGCTTCGCCGAGCCGCTGCCGCCCCTGGAGGACGCGATGAAATTACGTATTTTAGGCAGGGCTTGCGAATTTTTGCACATTACTTTCGGATTTGATGGATGATTAAAAAATTAATCATTGATTCGACTCAGTTTTAATTGAGAATTAAAAAAGTAATTCCTGATTCAATTAGGCTTAATTAAGAATTACTCTCTAATTCTTAATTAAATCTTCAATTATTATTTAAAATGGAACAATTATATTATTCAGAAAGTTTAATTTTCGACGGAGTATTTTGGGTTAGTCGGGGCTTCGACACCCTGGACTAATTTTATTTGCCACCAGATTGAAAAGAGGTGTACTTACAGCAGACTTTTTACGCCAAAAAAATTATAGATAAAATTGCATCATTTCTAACGCGTTGGAAAATCTCTTAAACGCACTTTGAAAAAATTAATGAGAAACACGATGTAGGAAATATTCTCAGCTTTTGATCTAGACTATTTGAAAATTTTTAAAAAAACTGTCTTGCAGATACTTTATGTTGAAAGTTTGTTATTTGAATTTTCTGGAGAAAATAACAATTTTTCAGAAAATCTGAACTCACATTCAGAAAGATGAGAAAATTTCCAATCGGAACCGTATTTCACGTATTTTTTCTTAATCCATTTAGGGGGTTTCCGAAACAACCAGACAGAAATAAAGCTTTTCGAAGAATTTAATTGTTTTAAATTCAATTTTATTGAGATTCAATTAACAACAGATTTTTAATTCTTAATTAATCCTGAGTTTAATTAAAAATTGGTTTTTAATCATTAATTAAATCGACAAATCAATGTTTTTTTTTTATTAATAACTTTCAAGCCTTGAAATTTTAGGCGAACTGCTGGGCCATCCGACGGGTCCCCGACAGCTGGAGGCGCGAGATCGCCACGGCAACACGGCCCTCCACGAGTTGCTCGGCACACCGAGCCTCGGTCCACTGCACCACTACGGCCTGGCGATGCTGTTGGCGCGGGGCGCCCGGGTCAACGCGGCCAATCTCAATGGCTCCACGGCCCTGCACCAAGTCGTCAAGATAACGCGATTCAATCGGGAGAGCGGACAGCCCGAGGAGGAGGACTGCTCGTCGGGCATGGTCGGCTATCTGCTGAGCCTCGGGGCGGATACGGCGGCCCTCGACTCGAGACTGACGAGTCCGATGCAGCTGGCCTGCAACAGACTGAACTTCTGGGCGATGGACTCGCTGATGCAGGCGGGAGTCGTCGAGGACTGGACGGATTTTCGGCTGGATCTCGGCACGATAAAGAATCGGCCTTACCTGGACTTCTGCTTCAACGTGCTGGACCTGATGGAGCTGGCGCAGGTGCGAGGTCACCAGTGGGACGAGCGCCAGGAGTCGAGAGTGCTCGAGGCATTGCTGAGCCCCGAGCGACTCGAGGCCGGCTATCGCGAGCGCGTGTCCAGCGTGCTGCAATTGGGCAGCGAGCGCGAGATCAGGGCCTACTTCGACGCGCGAGCCCGCGAGATCCAGGAGCTGGGCGATCGCGACCCGCCCACCAGGTCGTACTTGACCGGCCGCGTGCTGCGGGCCATCCACGTGCCCATCGGTCTGCACAGCTTCGGCCTCAAGATGCCCCAGCGCGTCTATCGCTACCTCGTCGACCTCTTCAATCGTTTGCAGTCGGGGCCGGATCGCGTGGAATTTCTGCGCGACGACATCGCCGCGCTCAACACGGAGATGGAGTACACGAAGAACGTGCCGATCGGCGACGGCCGCAGACTGCACGAGCTGCTGGGCCTGGCGCCCGAGGAGGGCATCGAGCCGCGCCACATCGCCTGGCTGGATCATCCCTGCGCCCAGGAGGTGCTGAGGAAGCGCATCTTCTACACCATGTATCCCAGGTCCGGGGGCTACATCGAGGCCCACGTGGCCAAGTGTCTGCTCAAGCGTTTCGCCGCGAGGCTGGGCGCGAGGCTCCTGGGCCTCTTGGCGCCCTATCGTGGACTGCCCGACTTGGTGTGTCGCGAGATAGTCGGCCACCTCGCGCCCGAGGATATACTGAACGTGGCCAGAGCCACCAAACACTTCCTTTGAGTGCTTTTTTTTTGTGAATAATTTTGTATATGTTGCATGATACACAAATTATTGTACAATGCGATGATATAAGTACGAAAAAAGAAACAAAATAATGATATTAAAATTGGGGAAATTTTTAATATCATTATTATTATTGTTATTAGTTATAAAAGCCTGATGTTATCTTTTGTACGAATGGACAGTTTGTAGTATAAGCTTTGAGATGCGTATATGTATAATCTCGGTGTATCATATACGCCTTCGTCAAGTCGATAGGTTCAAAGTGAGAAGGGGTCAATAAAGGGGCTATAGCATTTTTTTCATAATGATGAAAAGATCGCGTAATCCCCCCGTTTTTACTATAAATTTTGTACATTATATATATGCGCGTGCGTTGGTTGATGATTGATTGATATATATATGTTAAAAAATACAACGTTTCTTTCGAATCTGAGTCGAAATAAATTGAATTTTTATAACAATTGTAATGTCGTTTATTTTATTTTATTTTTTTTTTCTAATCGAACTCATTACAATTTTTACACGTACAGTTTTTGTTTTCATCTGGAATGACAAGAAATAAAATTGCGAGGGAGGAGAGAGAAAATTATTCGAGTGTATAAAAATAAGTAATGAAAGCACTTGACGCGTGTCTACGAATCTAATCGCTAAAAGACGGGTAATCTCTCCGATTCGGTATTAATTATTGCGTAAATCGAAATTTTACGCTTACAAATGGCAACACATGGAAAATATATAAACAATATACATTCATCTGTCATTATCTCTATAGAAATTATAAATATTGCCTAAGTCTTATCTAGGCCAAGATAATCGATTCTTTACATTTTTTTTTTGTTTACGTCATAAACGAATGAAAAAAAAAAAAAAAATTGTTCACAATGTCCTCGCACTTCCTACAGCACTTTTAATTTGAATAATCAGAAGACAGAGCGTCGATCTACAATCGGAGGAAGCTACAGGTGTCGAGTATATGAGTATATAATTATGATTTATCTTATACGAATACGCGTCTCAACATTGGCGCCTTTTTTTCTACTGAATGCTAAGATATAATATAATATTTATGCTCTAGACGAGTAAATAATTTATTTGTTTTTTTTTTCTTACATAAATCTCTAAGTTCTGCAATGAATTCAGCGCGGTTATAACGTTGTCCTATGTACAGTAGCTTTATTTACAAAAAAATTTCTGCACGCACCACCCTTACTTTGTTCGAATCTAAAATTTCGTTTTTTAATAAAAAGAGAACCTATCTTTGTGCACGTTCATAATACTTTTTCTTCTTGGCCGAAGTACACCACCACAGACCTAGATTACGGTGTACCTCGGTTACAGGTATATATTTATTGAATACTGGAAAAATCATCAACTCGAGTGTATATACTTGCATATCGTAACATTTCTTCTTCTTCTTTCTTTTTTTTTTTGACAAAAACTTTTAGCTAGATGTCGATAATCATTTGAAAAGTTCGTAAGGTACTTCAGAGTTATGTTTCTTTTAGTGATTGTTTTTCTCCGTTAAATCAACAGAAAAATTCTTACAATACAATTCTACGCTCTTGAAACACAATTCACTTACAGCGACTATCTATAATCTACGTGTTAAGCGTGTTTCGTGTCATTTGATTATTTTTAAAATTCCTTGAGTCTCTCCATTCAATTTACAGCTATAAAATATACGATAATGTTTTCGAGTCAACGCGTTTGCACGGTACCTATCGAAAATCTGTTTAATTGAAAAAATGCAAATCAATGATCTGGCGAAAAAAAAAATTCTCGTTTACAATTCATAGAGCAATATTGTGCACTGACAGTCGTAATATCACAATCAGAAAATATATCACTATTTTTTATTAACAGTGCTTGAATCAGTCAGTTTTCAATGATTATTATCCGTAGTATTTTTTTGCAATTAGTTGAACGTTAGCAGTCAAAAAACTTGGCTATTCCTCGGTACGTATACATATAGAAAATTCTACTTTGCAAATATCATAATAGCCTATCTTGGAGAACCGGAAGATTACAATGATTGAGTTGAGTTGTTTTTCTTTTTTTCTTGACTAAGTCATATCCAAGCTCATTCGAGAAGTGTTAACGTAACGAGTTTTTTTTTGTCTTTATACATTTAGCTACGATTGGGACCTTTAGCACGCTGATCCTCCATACGACCGGCTTGCAGCCTTTGAATGAGATTGAAGAGATCCTCTTCGGGCACCGTCGCGTTGGCCGATGAGGCGTTTTCATTGTTCTGGTGGTGAGACTCCTGTTCGTCGACGTCGTTGAGAACCGGACAGTTCGGCAGTGGGCTGCGTTGATCCTCCAGTCGGGAGCTTTGGCACCTGGCTAACATCTCGAGGAAAGCGTCGTCTTCGGATGGATTGTTTTCTCGATTTCGATTCGTGTTGAGCCCGGGCAGATAGGGTAACGTCACGCGCTGCTCGTCCATTCGTTTGCTCTGCATGCCGGCGATGAGTTGCATGAGGTCTTCCTCGTCTTTTTCGGTAGGATTATTCTGGTTGGCGTTTCTGTTGTTTTCGCTCGCTCGGTTGAGGCGAAGATCGCATCGCTGATCGTCCATACGTCCGGACTGGCACCTGGATAGAAGATCGAAGAAGTTGTCTTCGTCGTCCTCTTTTTTTTCTTCTGCTTGAGGATTGTTTCCACCTTTGATACGGAAGGGCTCGTTTGTTTCTTTAATTTTGCCTTTGGCATCCGGAGTTAATTTCATTAGGTCTAGATTATCCATACTTTTTCTCCTTAGTCTATATCTGCCTGGAGAGGAAGAGTTGATGTTTGTTGTAGCGGCATTAAGTAAATTTTTCTTGTCATCATCTACTTTTTCGATGCCCAGTACTTTCTGTAAGTCAACAACATTCATTTGAGCTGTAGCTTGGCCCATTGTATCACCTAGTTCTTTGGATATAGAAAGATGCTGTTTGGCATAATATAATGCTTGCTCGTTGTTGCCCATAGCTGAGTATGCATTACCTAACGACCAACAAGCACGACCTTCACCAACTCGGTCCTTCAATTGCTGTGCTATGAGTAGATGACGTAGATGATATTCTATGGCTGCAGGATAATCTCTTAATAAAGTGTAAGTATTTCCAAGAGAATAGCATGCTTGGGCTTCAAAAGCTTGGTCACCGAGCTCTTGAGCCAGAACAAGGGTACGTCTGTAATGTTGAGCTGCTTTCTCAAATTCACCCAAAAAAATGTGAGAATTGCCAAGATTACTGTTGGCTCTTCTCTCTGCAGCTTTTTCACCAAATTCGCGAGCAATTTTAAGTCTTTCATTATGATAGAAAATAGCTTTTTGAAAGTCACCCAAGAGGTAATAAGTATTACCAAGATTGCCACATGCTCTACCCTGAGCTGCGGAATCACCTAATTCTTTCATCAGCTCGAGGTTTTCTTGATAGTACTTTACAGCTTGCTGCAAGCACTCCTTAACTTCTTGAGAGTATTCACCTGGACCTTGGTGTCCTATTCTGCCATGCTGTTTGCCTTTTGCATGGTAAACATTACCAAGATTGTACAATGCCCGACCTTCGCTAAGCTTGTCACCAATCTCACGTGAAATCTCCAAATGACGTTTACAACAGATCATAGCTTCATCAAACTTGCCCATGACTTTCAATGTGTTACCTAAATTGCCACTAGATTTGGCTTCACCAAGTTTATCACCCATAGATCTGGCTAAAGTAAGGTCATGCTTGTGGTATTGCATAGCTGATACATAATCGCCGAGGTAGAAATAAGCGTTGCCTAGCTGGCTGTAAATGGCACTGAGTGTACGCAGGTCATCTGTACCAGCTTGTATGGCTGCTTGGAAGAATGCAACTCCAGACCTGCAATCACCGGCTTTGCATAAACTTTCACCCTCCAGGGCTAATTCCAGACACATATTTGTATCACTGCTGCTCGATTGGGCCTGAACAGGCAGAGCCTCAGAATTTGCCTTTGACGACATGCTTGGGAACTTATACAACCTATAAAGAATAAATATTATGAGATAAGTGTTCATTACCACTGGTTTATTAGATTATTCAATGTACTCACTGAGTCAATTGAATGACAATGATTTCTTTCTAATATCTTGAACTCTATGAAATTGCACTAGCACCAAGTTTACAGCACAAATGTAATCAAGTTGTTGAAATACCTATAATCAGAAAAATATTATTTACTACTTCTTGTCAAGAAAACTATTAACACTTACAATAAGGTAAACAAACAAAAATTAGTATATAAAGTGTTTAATCAAGCGAAATATCAACAACGACTGCGTTTAATTGCGTCTGAAAATTTGTGCATCTCGACAAACAGCAACAGCAACGCTCAACAACCACTTGTCACCCCTGCATGTGTACGACCACTGACCTACATCCTCTGCAAACTCGTCTATATGCAAGCATAATACAGAGCTATCCAGCGAAATTACTACTGAACGAGGAAAATAATTTTCTATCTCAATGGCACTGCGTGATACGCATCTATTTGTTTATTAAAACTTGCACACACACACACACACACACACACACACACACACACACACACACACACACACATTGAGAAACCCGCGCAAATCAACTCACCATGCACCACGCAGTCGGTGTGTAGGGGGATTTGAATAAAAATTGGCGCTTAGAACGCCGTGCATTGATGATGCGACTTACACGACAATGTTTTCTTCTCTCTCTCTTTTAGATCTTTCAAACAGACCCAGAAGACGATGTTTTGTTTTTTCAAAGGACGGCAGCTTCCAGGATGATCGAACTGCAGCTCCACCCTTTTGGAATAATATATATATGCCTCGGCGAGAGTGAACGAGAGGCAGGCAGGCAGGCAGAGAGGGCGGATATACTTATTTATATTGTGTAAGCACAAACACACTCACTCACGCACAAACGAACGTATAGAACGAGAGAAGTGCAATTCCTCAGGACTGCTGCTGCTGCTGCTGCTGTGTATATTACGAGTGAGTCATTAACCCTCCCGCGCGCGCGTTAACGATAAAAGTTCTCGCAGTTCTGCTGGTTGGGGCATATATATATAGTATATACGCACATACATCTGGCAGGCAGCACATGCACACATACACATACGATAAATGTCGAGAGTATATAGTAACTTTGTGTGGGTGCAGAGTCGACGTGTGTGGAATCACTCGGAGTCTGTCCAAGTGTCCGTTATATATTTTAACACAAAAAAGTCCGAACGTTAGGATTTTACTGCGCGCGCGCGCTCACGCTCACGGCTCTCCTGCGAATTCATGAATGCAAACTAAAATGTATATGTACATAAGTATTGACGGTTGCTGCTGCGGCAGTTCGCGTTTGTATCGACGAGATTCGGGCATAATATATTTACTGTTGACATGGCAGTTATGTGTCGGCGAGATGTTTATTTAGAATGTACACCCGCCGAGTTCAATACTCGGACTTCGAAAATTTGCGATACAATTTCACGATAGGTGGTCTGTACCCCACAGAGTCGAAAAATGTGTTTTATTTATGTATTTTTTTCTAAATCGAATATCGAAAAACGGCTCTATGGAAACCTTCATTTTGTTGCTCTCAATAGCTGGTAAAAATTTTAGCTCATTCCACCGACCAGATTTCCCGGAAAACGTGTTTGAAATTTACACCCGTTTTCTCGGCTTGAAATTTTCAAACACGTTTTCCGGGAAATTAGCTAAAATTTTTACCAGCTATTGAGAGCAACAAAATGAATGTTCCCACTGAGCCGTTGTTCGATACTCGCCGCTGCACCTCACCGCCAAGTACCGACGAGTTCAAGTCCTACGAGTCTTACTGGAGTACACTGGAGCAGAATCCGAATAAACGCGACAACGAGCAATCGACTGCTCTCCATTCGACTGATCGCGCTTCAAAAATGAAGTAAAAAATTTGAAAGGCATTATGGCGAAGGAAGACATCTCGCTGTATCGACTTTGCCAAATGAGTCATCGTCAGGGTTATAGTACCGTCTTTAGGGGCGGGCCAAGTGGGCCCGAGCCCAGGGGCGCCAAAGGGTCAGGGGGCGCCATGAAGATAGATTTGGTAGAAAGTAACCCAAGTAACCAAATCGACAAGGATCCCACTAAATTAGAACGAAATGAAATGTAAAATATTTGATTTTTATAATTTTCTTTTATTATTGATTAGCTTACAGAATTTTTTTTCTGGATTTTTTCGCAGAAAAATTAGAAATAGTGTCATTAAAATCTATTTCTTCTAATAGATCGGATTCTATGCACATTAGTGATAAGCTATTCAATCTTGATTGAGTCATAGTACTTCTTCGTTCATTTTTAATTAGTTTCAACGTTGAAAATGAACGTTCTCCGCTACAATTAGTGATCATCAAACTTAAAAATATTCTTAAACTAATTTCTATGTTAGGGACAGTAGAGCTGAGACAGTCAGTTTTAATTTGTGCATATAAATCGGGTATGAAAAGCGTTTCATTCTTTCTAGTTACGCGAATATAATGTTTAAAATTTAAGCACTCTGAAGTTAAATCTTTCACAGAAATATCTTTATCATACTTATTTGCAAGATTTTCACATGCGTTTTCAATATCTTCATCACTCATATCTGGAAGTGCAGTGAAAAATTTAAAATTATTATGAACGTTTTCATACGCACATGTTCTGGTATTTAAATGTTGACATAGAGAATCAATTATGAGGTAAAAAACCTCGATTTTCCAATGATCTTTTCCGGAAAACTTAGTACCTTTAGAAGACCCTTCGAAACGTGTAATTTTAATACTCCTGGTTCGTTCTCGTACTGTGGTTTCGATGTCGATCTCTGCTTCTTTAATAAAATTGTTCGCTTTTGTCCAATAATCCTCAAACTTTTCTCTTAAATTTAATAAATATAGTTCCAAGGATTTTAAAAGACTGACAACAACGTGTAAATCTGTATTTTCTTTTTGCAAACTTTTGCTTGTGTCATTGATACGAAGCACAATGTCGTACCAAACAACTGTCATGAATACACTTTCAAATTTTTTCATTTTTTTTAAAGTGATCTAGCTTCAGATTGGGTATCTGTTGTTTGAGTTTTTTCCTCGCGAATATAATCAAGAGCTGTGAAGATATTTTCGTAGCTCGCGTAGAGTGCAGATATGGCATCTGTAATGACCCAGTCACAAGGGTCATAGCATCCCTACGAGTAGATAAAACACCGGGGCAGCAAACCAGCCCGGTGCAACACCAAGTCCCGAACGGACATGCTAGTGTACGGCCGCACATATACACCGCGGCACGTAATTGTATGAGCGCGCATACAGATAAGTACAACGAACGTCAGTGCGCGCCTGCACACGTACACCACGGCGCGCACCGATGTAAGTGCGCACACGGACAGAGCCGTGAACGCTAGTGTGCGACTGCACACGTACACCGCAGCGCGCACTGGTGTGAGTGCGCACACGGACAGAGCCGTGAACGCTAGTGTGCGACGGCACACGTACACCGCAGCACGCACTGGTGTGAGTGCACACACGGATAGAGCAGCAACGTTAGTGTGCGCCCACTCACGTACGCCGCGGTACGCACTGGTGTGAGTGCGCACACGCGTGGAGCGGCAAGAGCTTGTGAGAAGCATAGCTCGCGCTTGCAAGGTACAAGTCGAAATTTATGATGCCTCCGTCGCCAAAAAGGCGATGGGATAACCAGCTCGGGCAGGAAACGGGATGTTGGCAAAAATCAGGTCACAACTTGCGAGCAAAGAAACTAAGGAAACGGCTCAAGCATCCGCTAAAAATCCCAGACACGACGGATGGGAAAAAACGCGCAGCCCGCAAGCTCTAGAGGACACATAAAGTTCACGGTGACCCTAGCTCAAACAAAGAGGGTACGGCAGCAACAAACAGTATATAAACCGAGACTCAGGGAGTCTCGGGGCCAGTTATCGTTCTCGGTTCAAAGCGTATACATCGACGCTCGTCGGCTCAGTGTTCATTCTCGGTTCGAAGCGCGCACGTCGACGCTCGGTCTTCACGTACATCTTTACCTCTCGAGTCAAAGTTCGCCGTTTACTTGAAAGCCAGCCTGTTGCTCAGCTCCGCAGATAAAATCAGTGCGAGTTAGTAATACGAAAAGTACGCGAGCCCGTGCAGCTGCAACCACCGACGCCGCCCAGCACGCTGACACCGTGCCGGCTTTATCGATACCGAGAACACCCTCACCGACACCGAGGACACCCTCATCGACGCCGATCTCCTCGACGCCGATCTCGCCGACGCCGATCGCCCTCGCCGACGCCGCACCAGCCGAGGCCAGACCGTCTCAGGCCCGCCCTACAACAGACAGCACACCGACGCCTTCAGCCACCGCACCGATCGTCGTCGCCGAAGATAAGAACACCGGTACATAGTAAGCAACATTTATGTAACTAGGGTTAAGGTTAAATAAACAGTCTCTTGTGAAATTCTGTGTTATCCTTCCTTCATCTCACCCTACCCCAGAGACAAACGCGAGTAGAGTCGAGTCATTAGCTTTCAGTCAGCTGGCATATTTTATTGATAATAAATAGATGGTGGCAAACAAGCCATCACACATCAAATCTAGCTGACCATCTAGTGTTCGACAACATTTTAACGACTTTCTGTTTTGGTTCCAAAGCTTCTGTTAATTTATTCCATCTGTGAGGCGATGCCGAAAAAAAGGTATAAATATTTTGTACAAAATAAAAATATGCAGTAGCTTCTGAAACACACTCAGCTGCTTTTTCACCAACTAAATTCAACGAGTCAGCAGCACGTGGCATATAATCAGCATATTTATTCACCTGTTTTAATCTAGCTTGCAAACCTTTATAAATGCCTGACATATTTGAGGCATAATCGTAGGATTGGCCTCTGCAATCATTAATGTCTATATCATTGGTACTTAGAAAGTCTGTTACAACTTCTGTCAAGTATTCAGCTTTGTGTCCTTCAATGGGAATAAACATCAAAAAACGTTCAATTGGTCCTTCTTCACTCACATAACGGAGAATGAAAGTTAATTGATCGGTATGGGTAATATCTGGCGTTGAATCCACCGAAATAGAAAAATATTTTGATTTTTTCAACTCATTAATTATACGACTAAGAACTCTTTTTCCGATAATTTCAATAAATTCCTCGCAAATATTGGCTGACAGATATGATGTTGAACCTTGCCCTTGATTTCCATATACTTCGATATGTTCTTTTATGAAAGTGTCATAATTGCTCAAAAGTTCAACTTCTGAGCGTTGACCTGGACCGTGTTACCGACTTGGTCGTTAATGGCGAAAAATGTTTCCACGAACTCACCGTCGTCGGCGTCGTCGAATGGCTCGCTAATGATGTGCAACGGGGCATCTCCATTCTGGTTCCACAAATTTGGATTCGCGCCGCATCTAAGCAGCAATTCGGCTACTCTCTTATAATTGTTGATCAGACTCAGGTGGAGCGGTGTCTCGGAATATCTCGCGTTTCTTGTCTCTTGAGAGAAGCAGTTGGGATCTTGTCCGAGTTCAAGAAATCTTTCGACGATGCTGTAGAGGCCATATTGACAGGCTATATGGAAATATGTACATCCATCCTCGTCGATGTAATTGACGTCGAATCTGTTGTATATTTTGAATAAACTATATACGGCGACACTTCCGTGCCGAGCTGCTTGATGTATCGGTGTCGTGCGATGCAACAGTGGCTTGCCCGATTGGTCGAAGCCGGGCTCGTCTTTGTAGCCGCTGCGAGCCACGAAATCAATGAAACGTTGCCCTGGTGTCTCCTCGATTTTGTCTTCATCTGCGTCCGTGACCGATTCCAACAGAAGCCAATTAATCACTTCTTTCCGGAAAAAGGCTTGGAGATTCAAAAGTTGACCTTTCCAGTTTTTTACCACGGCATCGAGTTGATGAAAATTTGGGTCTATCTCGTGAAGTCTCCCACGCGACATCTTTCGACATGTACCCAAAAACTTCTAATAGTTTACTGCTATTATAGCTCACACTGAACTCGTTTTTCGACATGTTTTGTTGTATGTATTGTAGTGAGCCGTGTCGCCGCTAGGTGGCACGGAGTAAAAGTGCGGTTCACGCAAGTGAGATTGTTAAGTCTGGGCGTTATATAGACCCGAGAAAGACTTGTATCTTCGGAAGCCTCGAGAGAGGCGAAAGAGAGGTGGATTAATAAACAGAGTTCTTTGAAAAGGGAATCTCAACTAATTATTTCACCTCCCTCCCATTCACCATCCCCTCCTAGCCGG